GGAAGAGGGGAGGTGGAGGGGGACAGAGGGAAGAGGGGGGAGAGGGGGCCAGAGGAAGAGGGGAGGTGAGGGGAGGACAGAGGGAAAGAGGGGAGGTGAGGTGGGACAGAGGGAAGAGGGGAGGAGAGGGGGGAGGACAGGGGGGGGGGGGCAGGGGAAGAGGGGAGGAGAGGGAGGGCAGAGCAGGGAAGGGTGGGGACTGAAGGAGGGCAGAAAAAGGGACAGGGGGACATGAAGAGCGTACGGAGCTGCACTGCTTCATCTCGGTAGGAGCTACGCAGTGCTCCAGCAGACTCTGAGAGGAAGCGAGAAGAGAGTGAGGAGATCAGTCAGCGTGAGGAGGATCGTATGGTCAGGCAGGATCAGAGGAGTAGAAGTAAGAATTGCTGAACGGCACCTCCTCTCAGCCCCAGACCCAGTTGCACGCAGGATGAAGACTGAGCTGAAAGAATTTCCACCTGAGTCTGTGAGCTCCACCTCTCTACAGTAGACTGGGGGGCAAAACCATCTCCGCACCCCAGACATAAAATACCAGTTTGAGAGACCCTGTCTCATAAACAACTGGAAATATTTTACGTGTCCAGTCCCTGGTGTCTGTGGCTATCACTTTGAATACTATGGGTGGGCTGGGGAGTCGCAACATCACCACACCAATGTAGCAACACCAACATCATAATAATACTTTGAGAAGATCTTTCTCTCCAGATATGAAATATGGGAAAATATATTTATACAGGTTGTCAAAGTGCTGGTGGTCTGTGTGGCTGATTCCTTATGTAATATTTGGGGATGTAGTGCACGTCGTCAAGATCTCACACACACACAGAGACACACACACACATATATATATATATATATATATATATATATGGTCTGGGTAAACACAAGGCACAGGGGAGACGTTGGCTGAGTCCCCTATGGGCCCTGGTCAAAGGTAGTGCACTACAAAGGGAATAGGGTACATTTGGAACAGAGACATTGTAGCGAGAAAAACTCTGGGAAGGTTTAAATTGTCTCTGAAGCAACGTGACAGCAACATCATCCAAAACGTGGAGAGCACTTTCCACACAGAAGAAGGAAAAAAGGGAACAAAATGGGCTATTATAGCTATTTGGTTCTTTCCATAAAAGCTTTAACAAAATGTTGTTATGGTATTACGTGCATCCTGTTTTGACAAGACCCTCATACTTAACCAGAATTCAAACACAATCTAACGAAACGTCCATTTACTATCTGCAATCTAATAGCAGTAGTAGTTTAACTTGTATTACGCAAAATAGAATTCATATGACCTCAATGCACTTTTATAAAACCCATCCAAAAAGAAAAAGAACTACAAATCCAACAATGCAGCATCCCAAAACACTTGGAATCCAACAATGTAGCATCCAAAAACACTACAAATAAAACAAATCAAATTAATAAAAAATATAATATAAATACACTTTATGTAAACATTCATTTAACATTCCTTCAAATATTAAAAACTCACTAGACATTGGGACCAAAATACACTATATATTCAAGAATGCAATGTTTTCCAATGTAGTTCTAAAGGCCGGTCGATGCTCTGGGAGCCAAAAGCACCGGCTTCCTGTGAAGATTGGCGGCCTGACCGGGTCTAGCCCTGAAAAATATGAATTTCTATCGATAGAAAGATCTATAGCCTCAGCAAGGAGACATCCAAGGGTTGGAAAATATGCATTATTAGTGTATGGGTGGAGGAAGAAGTGTGTGTTATAAAGAGAGAGAGAGAGAGAGCGAGGGAGAGAGCGAGGGAGAGAGACAGGGAGAGAGAGAGAATGTCTATTATTTTGTGAGTGTAATGTTTACTGTTCATTTTTTTATTGTACATTTTTATTTGTTTATTATCTATTTTCACTTGCTTTGGCAATGTAAATATATGTTTCCCATGCCAATTAAGCCCTTACATTTTTATTGAATTGAGAGAGAGAGAGAGAGAGAGAGAGAGAGAGAGAGAGAGAGAGAGAGAGAGAGACAGAGCGGGACAGACAGACCGACAGACCGAAAGACAGACAGACAGACAGACAGACAGACAGACAGACAGACAGACAGACATACAGACAGACAGACAGACAGACAGACAGAGAGAGAGACAGAGCAGGCCCCAACAGGAGTTTACAGAGTGGAAATGCACATTAAAACAAGGCCCAGCTGCCAGCCTGAGACGCCTCTCCTTCCAACAGATTGGAGCTGAATAAACATCAAAGAATGTGGAGATAGCAATAAACGTTGCTCAGAAACCCAGGATTTATGAAACCTACACCAGGACGACTTCTGAATACTAAACTACTGTACAACAACGAGACAGGGAAGAAGATGGCGTCAAGGGTTGGGGAGTAACTGATTACATGTAATCTCGTTCCAAAAAAGCTGTAACTGTAATCAGTTACTTCACCAGCACACACAAAAAATTTAATCGGATTACAGATACTTTTGAAAAACTAGATGACAACTTCTTGGATTACTTTCAAATTGAGAAAGGATGTTTGGAAAATAAAATACATTATGGCATCTTGCTATTTTCTCAATGACACTCAATTCAGCATTGAAAAAAGTTCAGAGACCACTATGATGACACACCAAATGATGACCACCAATCAGAGACTACTATGATGACACACCAAATGATGACCACCAATCAGAGACCACTATGATGACACACCAAATGATGACCACCAATCAGAGACCACTATGATGACACACCAAATTATGACCACCAATCAGAGACCACTATGATGACACACCAAATGATGACCACCAATCAGAGACCACTATGATGACACACCAAATGCGTTTGATGGATCCTTTTTTTCTTCTTCTAATGCCTCTTAAGGGTATCCAAAAATTGTGTTACTGTTTACAATTTTGGACAGGTAACTAGTAACTGTAAGGGATTAAATTTAGAAAGTTACCTACTAGTGTTGCACGGTATACCGAAACTTCAGTATTTCTCTGATACTAGAACATGAAAAACGGTTCGGTACTAGATTTTCTTTTACTGTCGGTACTTTTGTCAAATGTGTCTCACGAATCAACTCTGTCTATTGGTGCAGCCGATGTCCCACGTACAGCCTTCTCCCCTTAGCCTGCACTGGAAGTCTGGGCTTCATCATGTTAGCTCCCCACTCAAGCTGCACTGACGTTAACACACTTCAATAATGCGACACAGCATGTAGACATTTTGACACTGTTCATTACTGTTCGCAAAACAATGTCCATACAGGCTAGAACATACCGGTAGCTTCCAATTTTTGTAGGCTAACTTTTCTTGCTAGCTTACAGCTGAAGCTACTGTATCTTCAATTCACTACCCTGGTACTTTGTTTGTGATCATATGCAAACCATAACGCAAAATATGCTGATTTCAAAGCTGATTGCCACCAAAACTTTATCCATTCACTTAATCGGTCTCGCTCTCACATCTCTCACTACATACTCACACTCCTATTGAATATGCATTCATGTGAATAGGCCTAGGATACATCTTTGATTTACCCAGTTTATCAATAGAGATTTACCATTCAAATAAATGATTACCATTGTGTTGTTATGTAGTTAGACTGGTAAAAAACTAAGTCATATTGATTGTATAATTGATTCATTAATGCATACATGACTGTCTATAAAAAATGTTGATGTATAAAATGTAAAATGTAATGATATTGAACTCAAAAGATGCCCAACGATTGGACAGAGCAGAAGTTGAGTTTATCTGTCTGGATCAAGTGCCATTCTGTGACTTTGGTTAATATGCCTTCTTTTTTTTTGCAGTGGTATCATTTTGGTATTAAGTATCGTGGTGGTATCGAGAATCGTGATACTGAACCTGGTATCGGTATCGAAGTAAAAAATCTGGTATCGTGACAACACTATAACCTACCCAACCCTGGTGTCAATAGCGTAAAAGCATGTCAATTAAAAATAAGAATATTAAAATCTAACTTCTGACTTCATAAGATGTGATGATCTGTAATGCATTATCTTTGGCTTAGTAAGAGCAAACCGACAACACATGGTTTTGATTCTGGGTGGCGTTCAATTTGGAAAAGGTTGCTCGGAGGCATTCTAGGGGGTCACATCAATTCAACTCAGTCAATTCACCTTCACACAGTCTGCATGGATGGACTACTTCTCTCCTCCTTCAAAGCTTCTGATTACAATTGAACCCCTACTGACTAGAATAAGGTATGCATGAAAGTTAAAAAAAGGCCTAATAAACTTGCATGTACGGTAATAAAGCTTTTGAGTGACAATTAGGCCACTCTCCCGAGTGGCACAGTGGTCTAAGGCACTGCATCGCAGTGCTAGCTGTGCCACTAGAGATCCTGGTTCGAATCCAGGCTCTGTCATAGCCGGCCGCGACCGGGAGACCCATGGGGTGGCGCACAATTGGCCCAGGGTAGGGGAGGGAATGGCCGGCAGGGATGTAGCTCAGTTGGTAGAGCATGGCGTTTGCAACTCCAGGGTTGTGAGTTCGATTCCCATTGGGGGCCAGTATGAAACAAAATATATATATATATAAATTAATGTATGTACTCACTAACTGTAAGTTGCTCTGGATAAGAGCGTCTGCTAAAATGTAAACCATAAAATGACTGTTTTCTAATGTACATGCAGCTGTCACTTCTACTATTGGTTGTTTGTTACAGCCATACTTCACAGGCACGGAGGATCCGCTCTCTCACTCCAATACAGGATCCCTGTTTCTGTACACTGATTTTAACTCTTGAACCAGAACATTTTATTTGGACTGTGGGCATCGCTGACACTCCATTCCCATTCATAGGGGTTGGGCTAAGTGTGGAAGACACATTTTGGTTGAATGCATTCAGTTGTGCAACTGACTAGATATTCCCCTTTACCTTTCCCTTCCAAAAGCCACCAAATCAACCAGTTAAGGACAATTATTTTAGGCAGTGGCGGTCCAATGGTATCCAATATCCACTATCCATCATTCAACATTTCTGTCACTCACCTGGAATGGTGCCGCAGTACTTGGGCTGCTTGTCTGCAGCCGTGGGTCCAGTGGGAGGGGCAGAAGTAGGGCTGGTCTTGGCTGAGCGTCGGTGTCGGACCACCCTGTGCTGCTGCCCGGAGAAGGAGTCGGCAGGACCGCTGACCACACTGACCGGCTGGATGAAGAGACTGTCCTCTCCTGTATAGACCAGTCCAGTCTGAAGAGAGAGTGAGACAGACAGAGAGAAAGAGAGAGAACGAGAGAGCGAGAGAGCAAAAGAACAACAGAGCAGCCGTTAACCTTCATACTCCCCTTGTGTTTTTAGGGTAGATCAGCTTTTAACATATCTCTTGGTTTTCTCTCACGAGATCCCAGATAGTTGTTTGCATCATGCCACCTCCCCTTTCCCCGACCAGAGCTGCCTCAAGCCCCACCTCTATACCCCCATCCTCAACCCCAACCACAACCCAGCCAATGGCCCACACCATGCAAATACCTTATAGTCTAACCCAAAGCCTCCAGTGAGGTAGGCCGGTGCAACTTGAATAAACTGCAACGTATAAACACGGCAGGCCCGCTCATTAGGCAGGATTAGGCGGACGCTTATGGCGGCAGATTGACGAGGGCGGCATTTTCTGAGCTAAACTGACCAAGACCCACCTCCAACAACACATAGAAACTCACTTACAGTGCATTCGGAAAGTATTCAGAACCCTTGACCTTTTCCACATTTTGTTACGTTACAGCCTTATTCTAAAGTGGATTAAATTGTTTTTTAACCCCCTCATCAATCTACACACAATACCCCATAATGACAAAGCAAATTTTTTTTTTTTTACATGTTCTGCAAATTTATTAAAAATAAAACACTGAAATATGACATTTACATAAGTATTCAGACCCTTTACTCAGTACTTTGTTGAAGCACCTTTGGCAGCGATTACAGCCTCAAGTCTTCTTGAGTATGACGCTACAAGCTCTGCACACCTGTATTTGGGGAGTTTCTCCCATGCGGTCCTCTGTAGCTCAGCTGGTAGAGCACGGCGCTTGTAACGCCAGGGTAGTGGGTTCGATCCCTGGGACCACCCATACACAAAAATGTATGCACGCATGACTGTAAGTCGCTTTGGATAAAAGCATCTGCTAAATGGCATATTATTATTATTATTATTATTCTCTGCAGATCCTCAAGCTCTGTCAGGTTGGATGGGGAACATCGCTGCACAGCTATTTTCAGGTCTCTCCAGAGATGTTAGATCGGGTTCAAGTGGGCCACTCAAGGACATTCAGAGACTTGTCCCGAAGCCACTCCTGCGTTGTCTTGGCTGTATGCTTAGGGTCGTTGTCCTGTTGGAAGGTGAACCTTCGCCCCAGTCTGAGGTCCTGAGCAGGTTTTCATCAAGGATCTCTCTGTACTTTGCTCCGTTAATCTTTCCCTCGATCCTGACTTATCTCCTAGTGCCTCCTGCTGAAAAACATTCTCACAGCATAATGCTGCCACCACCATGCTTCACCGTAGGGATGGTGCCTGGTTTCCTCCAGACGTGACGCTTGGCATTCAGGCCAAAGAGTTCAATCTTGGTTTCATCAGACCAGAGAATCTTGTTTCTCATGGTCTGAGAGTCTTTAGGTGCCTTTTGGCAAACTTCAAGCGGGCTGTCATGTGCCTTTTACTGAGGAGTGGCTTCCGTCTGGCCACTATACCATAAAGGCCTGATTGGTGGAGTGCTGCAGAGATGGTTGTCCTTCTGGAAGGTTCTCCCATCTCCACAGAGGAACTCTGGAGCTCTGTCAGAGTGACCATCGGGTTCTTGGTCACCTCCCTGACCAAGGCCCTACTCCCCTGATTGCTCAGTTTGGCCTGGTGGCCAGCTCTAGGAAGAGTCTTGGTGGTTCCAAACTTCTTCCATTTAATAATGATGGAGAACACTGTGTTCTTGGGGACCTTCAATCCTGCAGAAATGTTTTGCCACCCTTCCCCAGATCTGTGCCTCGACACAATCCTGTCTCGGAGCTCTACGGACAATTCCTTCGACCTCATGGCTTGGTTTTTGCTCTGACATGCACAATCAATTGAATTTACCACAGGTGGACTCCAATCAAGTTGTAGAAACATCTCAAGGATGATCAATGGAAACATCAATGGAATCAATGGAAACTCATGGCAAAGGGTCTGAATATTTATGTAAAGAAGGTATTTCTGTTTTTTTGCAAACAATTTCTAAAAACCTGTTTTCACTTTGTCATTATGGGGTATTGATGAGGGGAAAAAATAATTTAATCAATTTTAGAATAAGGCTGAAATGTAACAAAATGTGGAAAGAGTCAAGGGGTCTGAATACTTTCCGAATGCACTGTAATTCTGCCCAAAAACAATGACAATTTCTCTCAAACAGTGGCAAATGGCCTTTTTATGTGAGCACTGATGCCGGCCTGTGACAAACAATGCCCACTTTGTCAAAGTATTTTGCTTGTCCATTCCCAGCGCTTCTCCAGGGTGCTGTTGGAGAGATGCATCTCTGCAGCGCTCCACCAACGTTCAGTCAAAAAAATCATCTAACATAAATCATGTAGCAGATATAGGATATGGTAGAAAGAGGATGTGGCCTTTTCTGTAGCCTACAGCCTGGAGATAACATGTATGACAATGTAATGAGGCAGACTGTTTTTACGTCATGCAGGTTTCTCCGATCAAATAGCCTAACCTAAATGGCGCCCAATCAAATAAAAAATGCGCTATCATGTTAACAAACAAAATACCCTAAAAACAGGACAGGTCAAAGTAAAATGGACATTATGGAATGGACAATCACAATGGTTGTCCAGGAGTTATACCCCATTGTCATGATCAGTGGTTTCAAGTTTGTATCAGTCAATTTCTGACAAGGTAATCATAATGAAAAATTAAAACACTTCTGAATTATTGCTGTGTATACACATTGCAAAAATGCTCATGATAACTCCTGATAAAGTTGGGTAGCTGATATTCAGAGCTTAAATCGCCAAATTCATTAGTCACAGGAATCAGGACCAGTAAAGCCAATGCAACGGCCTGTTATACAAATGGTGGCTTACCACATGGATGGGCATTCATAACATTCCATTGCTGGCGACATGGTAGGCTACACCCCAGTAAGCACGAGCCAACGTCTTTCGGATGTCTTGTTTTGGTCCGGTCCGGACCCTACGTCTTTTTTTGGTGTTTTACAAACGGTAGGCTTACCACATAGATAGGCATTCAAAACATTCAATTTCAGGCAACACTGTAGGCTACACCTCAGACCAATGCCGATGCCTTTTGGATGTCTTTTTCGGTGCAGTCCGGACCAAATTTGAACCAATCGTGTCCATCTAGAAATTACGTATTTTTAACTTTCATTCAGAACCGAAAATGAATCTGATTTCAACGTCCTGGAAGAAATACGTATTTTTCAACGTCCGGAAAAGATGCCTTTTCAATGTCCTGGAAAATATGTATTTTAAACGTACGAAACATGCATCTTTTCACCTTTCATTCAGAACCTAAATTGAACCTAACTTCCAACGTCTGGAAAATACGTATTTTACACGTCTTTTCAACTTAATTTCGCTAACTGGGACTATTCTAGTTTTGGGGGGGCATTTTTTGGTCTCGCCTAGGGCGGCAGAACAGCACGGACCAGCCCTGTGTATAAAGGCATTATATAGCATAAACAATGTCTTCATCAGCATCAGATGCTTCACAAACCATACGTAAATGTCATACTGTATAAAGAGTGTAAGGTTTGACATAACAGCTCCTTGTGTAGGGTGCATTGCCAAATGTGCCAAATAGGCCAAATAGCAAGTAATGGCAGAGAACTCCCAGAGAACAGACTGAGAGAAGAAGAGTCAGCGCAAACTCTCTAATTTACATCTCAGCACACACCTCCTCAGGGCTAGGGAGAAGAAGCATGAAGGAGTGCTGAGAGAGAGGGGGAGAGAAGAGAGAGAGAGAGAGAGAGAGAGAGAGAGAGAGAGAGAGAGAAGGAAGCAGAGTTTGCGTTTGCTGCTCTCCCTCCGGCTCTCTTCTCTCTCTCTCTCTCTCTATCGTCTTGCGCGTCGCTCTCTCTCGCTCTCTCGCTCTCTGCTCGCTCTCTCCTCTCCTCTCTACTCTCTCGTCTCTTTCTCCCTCCTTCCCTGCAGTTCTCTTCTTCGCCTCTCTCGCTCTCTTGTCTTCTTCTCTCCCTCCGTCCCTCCTTTCGTCCTTGTTTAGAAGGGGAGAGAAGAGAGAGAGAAAGAGGACCATAAACCTCACTCTTTCATCCTCTCTGACAGGTACAGACAGACACTCCCTACAACATGAATCATAAAAGGAAAACTAGAAGAGGACAGCTGTAAGGTTTTGTAAGGCTTCACTAAGGATCCATCGTTGTATTGTGAAGGTGCGCCGGGCAGAGCTAGAAAAAATGAGTTGACATGGCATTAACAAGCAATCCAGATCCACACAGTGTCTTAAAGGTATTCCAAAAGCCCAGCGGCAGCAATTACAGAACCTATGAGCCGTTTCCATGGCAACTAGTGTTGGCGGGATAATGTTGTCTTCTTCTCGGTCAGAATAAGCCCAAGGTTTTTTTTAAAAGGAGACGCCGATGATTCATTGTCCATTCAACAATCACGGTTATGTACACAGTGAAGGAAAGAGAGGGAAAGAGAGAGAGACAGACGGACAGACAGACCGAGACTTAAACAGGCTGTTCACTTGGCCACATTCACAACACGACACAATGTGAGAGCAGAGCCTGCATGCGGCCAGCCACAGAGCTTCCAGTGTGAGGCAGGGTTAAGTGAATAACGGCTGGTATTTCAGGGTAAAATAGAACACCATGCTAAGTGTGTTACAACATACTGTAGCCACAGCAGGCTAATACAGCAAAGACATCCACCGGGCCCTAGCTCCAAGCTAAGCCTCAGGGTAAAGAATGCTGTTGCAGCACAGCAGAATACATTTCATATCTCCCCTCACTTAAAGGCTGGTATATCAATCGTGTTTTTCCACACCACATGGCCTGACCAGTGAAATCTCTAGAACCCATTATAGTGAAATCTCTAGAGCCCATTATAGTGAAATCTCTAGAGCCCATTATAGTGTATGAAGTTGTTGTCTGGTGATGGTAGTTATAATGCTGCTGTTCGCTCCAGGACACTGATGTACTGTGTCTTGTACTGTATAGGGTCCTATACACTGACTGACAGACACACACACACACACACACACTTCCAAGGCTACAAGGCTAGGTAAAGGGATACTTCCAGTGACCTGGCCACAGACAGAGAGAGGTATCCAGGGAAGATAACTATTAGGGCTCAGTCTGTTCTGTGTCTTCTCCCCTCAACTAGCCTACTGACACTAACACAGGGAGAACACGTGGGCACACACACACACACACACACACACACACACACACACACACACACACACACACACACACACACACTAGTGGGACTGGTCTCTCCACTAGGCACGGTGTCAGGGTTTTGACCTGAACTGAACTCCAGCCAAAAACAACCCAATGATTTAACAACACAAATAAAACTGTCTTGAAGTGCCACTGTACAAAACGAGGGTTTTCATATACAGTACCAGTGAAAGGTTTGGACACACCTACTCATTCAAGGGTTTTTCTTTATTTTTTACTATTTTCTACGTTGTAGAATAATAGTGAAGACATCAAAACTATAAAATAACACATCTGGAATCATATAGTCACCAAAGAAGTGTTAAACAAATCAAAATATATTTTAGATTTGAGATTCTTTAAAGTAGCCACCCTTTGCCTTGATGACAGCTTTGCACACTATTGGCATTCTCTCAACCAGCTTCATGAGGTAGTCAATTAGAATGCATTTCAATTAACAGGTGTGCCAGGAAAGGAAGACCCGGAGTTACCTCTGCTGCAGAGGATAAGTTCATTAGAGTTAACAGCACCTCAGATTGCAGCCCAAATAACTGCTTCACAGAGTTCAAGTAACAGACACATTTCAACATCAACTCTTCAGAGGAGACTGTGTGAACCAGGCCCTCATGGTCGAATTGCTGCAAATAAACCACTACTAAAGGACACCAATAATAAGAAGAGACTTGCTTGGGCCAAGAAACACGTGCAATGGACATTAGACTGTGAGGTTTTTGGTTCCAACCGCCGTAGGTGAACGGATGCTCTCCGCATGTGTGGTTCCCACCATGAAGCATGGAGGAGGAGGTGTGATGGTGTGGGGGTGCTTTGCTGGTGACACTGTCTGTGATTTATTTAGAATTCAAGGCACACTCAACCAGCATGGCTACCACAGCATTCTGCAGCGCATTCTTACCTTGCATTTGACCTACTGAGTGAAAATGAACAACTAAATGAACAAAAGGATGGCCTGCATAGTGTCTCTCTGACATAGTGTGTGTGTGTGTGTGTGTGTGTGTGTGTGTGTGTGTGTGTGTGTGTGTGTGTGTGTGTGTGTGTGTGTGTGTGTGTGTGTGTGTGTGTGTGTGTGTGGTGTGTGTGTGTGCGTGCGTGTGCTGGCACACACGTGCATATATGTGCACACACACACCTTAAATCAGCCTTCGTCCTGAAATACGACTGTAGGTGTCAGCTATCCTGACCCACTTCTCTCCCTCCACAAATGGATATAACATTTAAACAATCATGACCTCATTTTCCAGATAATAATATCCTACACAGGCCTGGGGAGAGAAAAAAAGCTGCCAGGCCTATTGAGCTTAGAATGCATGAAATGCCAAGAAAAGGATCATGCCATTTTTCCAATTCTTTTTACTTTAACTCATATGCTCATGTGGGTTTGGAGCCATCCGATCGTATTCTACTGTCAATGACATAATATGGTGTGTGTAGTTCAGGGTAGTTGTTATGGTGTGTGTAGTTCAGGGTAGTTATTATGGTGTGTGTAGTTCGGGGTAGTTATTATGGTGTGTGTAGTTCAGGGTAGTTATTATGGTGTGTGTAGTTCAGGGTAGTTATTATGGTGTGTGTAGTTCAGGGTAGTTATTATGGTGTGTGTAGTTCAGGGTAGTTATTATGGTGTGTGTAGTTCAGGGTAGTTATTATGGTGTGTGTAGTTCAGGGTAGTTATTATGGTGTGTGTAGTTCAGGGTAGTTATTATGGTGTGTGTAGTTCAGGGTAGTTATTATGGTGTGTATAGTTCAGGGTAGTTATTATGGTGTGTGTAGTTCAGGGTAGTTATTATGGTGTGTGTAGTTCAGGGTAGTTATTATGGTGTGTGTAGTTCAGGGTAGTTATTATGGTGTGTGTAGTTCAGGGTAGTTATTATGGTGTGTGTAGTTCAGGGTAGTGGTATGAATGGAAGGGACAGTCATAAGTAGAAACTGTGACAGGGAACAGAGAACAGTTCCAGGCGCAGTCCACACACACACACACACACACACACACATGCACACACACACACACACATGCACACACACACACACACACACATGCACACACACACACACAGGCACACAGACAAACGCACGGATGCATGCGCGCACACACACACACACTAGACAATGAAGCAGCCCAAACACACAAACACACACACACAGCTCAACTCAGTCACGCCAACATGGAGTCTATCTAAACATGTGAGAGAGACAGAGAGGAACACAATGTCTAGCTGTTAATTGTCTAATCACAACCACTACATTCAGTTCAAACAGGGTGTGTGTGCGTGTGTGTGTGTGAATTCCTGAACACTTGACACTTCCCAGAATACAATGCAAGGTGAAGGAGAAGTAATTTACCAGACCGCTGCAGGTGTTGAGTGACGCAAAAGAGTCGGTGTGGTTGACAATCCATCCCGAGTAGAAGCAGAGCTGGTCTCTGGCAAGGCGCGACCATTTAGGGGGGTCTGTTTCGCCTCCCCTCTCCTCGACCACAAACCCCTCAGACAGAAAAGCGACATCCCTTTTCAGGTGTAAGTACAAGTCTTTTCCAAAAGCAGGTAAAGAGAAAAATAACGTGTTCCCCACAGAGTTTAGTCCACCCCGGGAATCGACAGAGCGCTGGGCACGCCGACGCGCGCTGCGCCTGGATGAGTCCTGCAACAGGTGAGCCTCCTCTCCAGAGAGCTCCACGGGGACCACCATGTCCACTAAGTCTGTGTCATAACTGGAGTGATCTATGGGAAAGGAGAAGGGAATAACTCATTCAACATTGAGTGTAACTTTCAAAGCTTTCTGTGCCAAGGTCTGTTTGAAAACAATATGCTATTGTTTTAATATTGCCAAGTTGCCTTGAGTTGTCTGTGGTGTGATGTAGGCTAGTAATTCAATGTCATAGCAGCCTATTTCACAACAAATGAGGAAAATTGTACTATGTCCTGGTCATTAAATAAGGTCTATTTGGGGTCTGAAGCGGCATGCAAGTCATTATTGATCTTATTCTAGTCACTTATTCAACTCTCCAATTGTGCGTAACTTCGTTGTGAGCGGGCGCTGGAAAACGGAGGAGAAAACACAACCAAAGCTGTGCAAAGTTATTACTCTGGCAAAGCAACACAACTGGAGTTAATACAGTGAATGAGTTGGACAGAAGATCTTGAGAGAGAGGGAGAGAAAGAGAAGGGAGAGAAAGAGAAGAGAGAGAGAGAGAGAGAGAGAGAGAGAGAGAGAGAGAGAGAAGAGAGAAAAAGAGATTGAGAGATCTCAAAGCTCTCTCTCTCTCTCTTCTCTCTCTCCGCGCTCTCTCCCCCTCTCTCGCTCCTCTCTCTCTCTCACCCCCCTCTCCATCTCTCTCTCTCTCGCTCTCTCGCTCTCTCTCGCCCTCTCTCTCAATCATCCCGATAGATAGAGAGCTAGAGAGACGAGAGAGCTTCCTCCCCATGCCAATAAGCCCCTTTAATTGAAAATAATTTGGAGAGAAGGAAGATAGCGAAGAGAGAGAGAGAGAGAGAGATATCAGACAACCGCTACAAGCTCCCTGGCAAAACAATGATTAACAGTTACAAAGTATCTACAAAGCAGGTGTTACATGGTACTTACCAGTCATCGCCTTCACTCCGAAACAGAAAAGGAATATAGACAGGAAAAGCTGCGGAGCATGGCTGTCATACATGATAAAGACTAGCGGAGTGACTGCGGAGGGTGTACGCGCCTGCAAAGCGAACAAGGACTGCAGGGAACTTCCACAAAGTTTGTGAACTTAATCGGAACTCCAGGCAAAGTGAATTTGAAGCGCTAGACACGCCTGCCGCACTTCGGCACTGCCTCTGCAACCACCGGATTGGTTAGGGTAGTTTGACCAAAAAATCTCTAACGTTTGATTGGACAGAAACGACGTCAAGCATCGGGGGGGCTGCAACTTAACACGTGGTTTTAGCGTAGAGGAGAAAAGATTTGTGAATGTTATATTTAGGAAAGTTTTCTTCCATGGGTTATGCAGTTGCAATATACCCCACTGTTATTTGATTTATGCTTGTTTATGTAATAATTGGAACTTGTGGGACAAAGTCCACATTAAATGTGTAGGGCCTGGAATAGCCTATCAACAGTCATTTCAGTCCAAGTGCTAGGAATCGATAGGCAACTAAATGAAAGCTGTGAATGAATTAATGCAGTGCAATTGTAGCCTATTCATGATAGCCTACATTTGCTAGACTGATTGAGATGACTGTAGGTCTAGTTGATTACATGTCTGTCCACAGGCCAAGAAACATGTTGCTTCAATTCAAGCTCTTGGATAAAGCAAAATGCAGACAAGAAGAAAAGCATGCAGAAAACCACAGTACAAATCACATGTGGGGCTTTAGCTGGGCTAGCTAATGGACTGTTAAAATCTCTCATCAGCTCCTAATTGCAAATGGGAAGAAAATGTGTTTCAATTAGTGAGGAAGATATTACACATCAGTGGTTGGCCTCTGGCAATGTGTCCCAGTTTGATAAGTCAGGATGAAATCCCCAGCCCTGCTGAGTGTGCTTACATTGTGTAGTGTACCACAACAAGGGCCTCTAGGATCCTGTGTAGTGTCTGTCTGTCTGTCTGTCTGTCTGTCTGTCTGTCTGACTGACTGACTGTTTGTCTCTCTGCCTGTCTGCCTGTCTGTCTGTCTGTCTGTCTGTCTGTCTGTCTGTCTGTCTGTCTGTCTGTCTCTCTGTCTCTCTGTCTCTCTGCCTGTCAGTCTGTCTACCTGTCTGCCTGTCTGTCTGTCCATCTGTCAGGCTCTCTGCCTGTCTGTCTGCCTGTCTGTCTGTCTGTCTTTGTGCGCGCACTGCTCTTTTCATCAACAACCAAACTGTTTTCTAGATGATATAGGCTACAAAGATAAAGGTTGTGGAGAGGGCAATCAGTTTGCCTCTCTGTCTCCAGCAGGCAGCACAGCCTCTGCATAAGCCACGGTCGAACACTGCCACCAGATATGGATGGAGTCATTTACAATAGGCCAGCCCGGTCTAGCATAACCCAGCCCCAAGCCAGCCCCACACACACAAATACTGTTCTCTCTATCCAACTACACTGGCAGTCATTTTATTGCCTTTACTGCTCCATGGGTTATGGGGTGTGCTTTAGAGCATCAATCACAAACAAATAGACTCAACCCATTGGAAGACACTTTAACAGGTCAGCACTGACTGGACAAAAGCTGACTGGTGACACTACTGCCGACTCATGTTCCTGTTCATTCGAGTAGAAAAGGGGCTGAAGTAACTGAATTGTGTGAAAGAAGTGTGTGTGTGTGTGTGTGTGTGTGCGTGCGCCCTACACCATGGCTACGTCCCAAATAGAACCCTATTCTCTAAATGACTTTTGGACCAAAGTAGGACACTATAAAGGCAGTAGGGTGCCATTTGGGACGTGGCCATGGTTCAATCTAATTCCAGTGGTAGCCTTTCTCATAACTATCTCTCTCTTCCACCAATAGTCCATACATCATCTAGATCACAGGAGGCTGCTGAGGGGAGGACGACTCATGATAATGGCCGGAACTGAGTGAATGGAATGGCATCAAACACATGGAAACCATGGAAACCATGTGTTTGATGTATTTGATGCAATTCGACTCATTCTGCTCCAGACATTACCACGAGCCCGTCCTCCCCAATTAAGGTGCCACCAACCTCCTGTGATCCACATCCATATCAACACAGAGACTGTTTTATCATACTTCTGTTTTCCTAGCCTGGTCCTATCTGTTTGTACTGCCTTGTCAACTCGGTCATTGTGACAGGTCTAGGACCAGGCTATACTATAAACCTGCCCAATAGTGACTGAATATCTTCTGTCAATGCAGTTTGGTTTGGTTTCATGCACCATGGTTGGACTGTGAGGTAGTGAGTCTGGCGACAGTACATTTCTTATTTTGCCCAAGTGGCCTGAGACCTGACAGATGAGCTGCAGAGTATTAGGACTGTTTGAAGCTAAGCTGTCTTTTCTAAGGAAGGAACAGGGCCTAGAGTAATCCTCTATGGAGCCTGTCGTCTGAATAGACCCTGGTCTCTGTCTGTGTGTGTGTGTAACTCTCTGGAATGAGTCTCTAGAGTGAGTCTGTCTCAATAGACTCTGGCCTGTGTGTGTTTGCGTGCGTGCAGGGATTAATCCCAATTCCAGGGCTTTGATTTCTTCATTTCTAAAGCTAGAGTAACCTCCATGGACCTCTGCTTTCTCTCCAGGACAAGCGGCCAGCCACTATGACGGTTTCCCCTAAACACTGATCTGAGGTCAGTCTTGCATTTTCCTTATAATGGTAAAAGATAGGATTCAGGGAGGGTAAACTGATCCCATATCTGTGCCAACCAGTAAAACAGAGCTGTCCCGCTTGAGCGGATGGTCGGGGGGCCGTAACGTAATTACAAATACATTGTAGACTGCAGATTGAACACAAGAAGCCGAAACAGATATAATATTTGACGAAAACATAATAATTTCAAACCTTGCTTACATTTGTATACGATCACGTGTCTATTATGCATGGGAATATTTAGAAACCTCATCCATGTTTGTGACTCACCATAGTTATATACCTGGCTCGTATCAAGAATCATTTCAGCGATGTCTGTCTCTCTTGCCCACCAATGGAAAATGTGTCATTCAAAACTGTTAAAGAATCTCTCCACCTTGTAGATAAGTGTTAACAAGCCAGGTTTTAACCAATTACCATACAATCCCAATCAGAACAAGCACACTAACTCCTACGCCAAAAAGGTCCAGACCTGCACTCTTCTTCCTCCCTGAATCACTACAACACAGTATTCTTTGTTCCAGCCCAGCACTAACACACATGATTCATCCACTAATTAATTTAATATAGGTGTTTTACCACTAGGATGTGACAAAAGCCTGTACTCACTGCATCCCATCCCATACCTGTCTCCCCTGGATTAGGAATGGAGTTTCAGACAGGAGGGAGCTAGGACATGACATTTGACCCAGAGGCTGTTTGTGTCTTATTTGGGCTCCAGACAGTCAGGCGGTAAGACAGACGGACAGATGGAAACGGACAGACGGAGACGGACAGACAGATACAGACATAGATATACAAACAGACAGGCAGATACAGTACATGCAGATAGACAGAGACAGACACATGCAGACAGACAGAGGCATCTCAGTCTGTGAGTCTGGCATTCCACACGGTGAAGTACAGTTGTGGCCCGCATTTGCTGTTTTCAAGCCTGCTCACTCTGGTGGGAACAATCCTGGAAGCATTCGGTATCAGTCAGGAGAGTGTGTGTGTGTGTGTGTGTGTGTGTGTGTGTGCGCACCTTTCAGCATGAAGTTCTTTGGAAAAGCAAAACATTCGTCCCAAGTATGAAAGCCATGACAGGGGAGGTGGAGTTTCAATTTAGTCACTCAATGTGTCGAGAACTATTTCTGATTCACAAAGAAGTCTCTCTTTGACTGAATGGGTTACCCTGGGAATCAGTGCTCTTGGATATAGGACTCTTAAAACTGCAGAGCCAGTAATCTCCATCCAAGTTGGTTTGACTGAAGCCAGTGGTGATCTACTCCCTCTAGAGGCCAGTTGTGGTAACACAGGACTGGGACACCAAAAAAAACATAAAAAAAGACTCCGTCCCAAATCGCACCTTATTCCCTATATAGTGCACCAGGTTCCATAGGGCTCAGGTCAAAATTATTATATTATAGGGGATAGGGCACCCTCTGTATATAACCTTGTTATTGTTATTTTATTGTGTTACTTTATTTTATTTTATTTAGTAAATATTTTCTAAACTCTATTTTCTTAACTGCATTGTTGGTTAAGGGCTTGTAAGTAAGCATTTCACGATAAGGTCTACACCTGTGTATTCGGTGCATGTGACAGATAACATTTGATTTGATTTAGGGTGCCATTTGGGACACATCCCATAGACTTCAACAGATAGCATGGCTTTTGAGGATCTCAGGATGTTCTGTACAGATCCATGTGAATCTCTATAGTATATGGCTCAGTTCCTGTTAACACATTGCACCTACTTCAATATGATCTTAACACCTTATAAATGTGTTGGGTTGTATAAATCTGATGAACAGGATAGATTTGATTTGAACCAGTAGAAAGATGAGTGACACACACACACACACACGGTGCTAGTCAAAGACAGGTTTATTACAGTACATAAAACACACTACACTAGACAGTTATAGTTTCAAGTTTCAAGGTTACATGCACAAGTACAGTGAAATGCCTTTCTTGCGAGCTCTAGTTACAGTGGGATGTTCACTATAACATCCTAATCTTTACCTTTTAGAAACCAAACTAGACCGTATAAATGTCTTTCCATATTTGGGGGAAGATGTGCAAATTAAAAACAGACATACAAATACTAACCTATGTGTTTTACACATCACCGTGAGTGACTCCTAAATGTTCTACAGTGCTTCATTAAAACAGTGTAACATAACCTTGTTTCAATGTTACGTAAAAGTTTCTTCAGCATTCTGAATGACATAGGATTTTTCCTCTGGCTCACACGTTTTCATACAATCATATGATTAAATACTACATCAAATAAATGTTACACTTGTAAAATACAGACCATAGTTACTGTATGGGTCAATCAATTAGCAAAATATTGGCATGTTGTTTTTAAGAAATATGAAGAAATGTACATAAAGTACTAAAAAGTGTTGATTGTATTCAATAAAAATGCTTGTGGCAAGACATGAAAGGGCTGAGAGGAGATGACGAACATGTAAAATGAGAGAGAGAGAAGAAGAGAGGAAGAAGAGAGAGAGAAGGAGAGAAGAAGAGTGAGAAGAAGAGATAGAAGAAGAGAGAAGAAGAAGAAGAGGAGGAGAGAAGAAGAGAGTGGATGGATCGAAGAGACGGTAGCGAGAGAAGATAGAGAAGACTGAGACGGGTCAGAGAAGCATCAGCGAGATCAGCGTTTCTCGCGTCCTACGCTCTCCCTGAGCGCCAGGAGAGAGAAGAAGAGAGAGAGAAGAAGAGAGGAGGAGCCCATTGTGATATTGGCTCTCATTCATCACCTGGTTGTCCATAACTAACCCCCATAGCCAGCAGAGGTTGAAATAAAACATGTAGGCCGCTAGTGAATGAACGCAGCCCATAAACTATAAACCCTAGCCAGGCCTTGATGGATGAAGGGCTCAAGCGGAGCGGCCGCCTGGCACCGTTTTACGACGTGCTTGCGCACCACCTTTCTGCAACAATACTGAACAGATGAAATATGACAATGAACAAAAACACAAGGGTTTTTGTGTTTTGTGTTTTCTGGTCTTTGTCTCGTTGCTGTCTGAGGAGGGTTCCATGTGAAACTGTGCCATCGTCAACATTGTTTTCCTTGAAGATGAGAGGAGTTGGGACGTGGAAGAAACTACAGGCCAAGAGAAACGGTCTCTTTCTGTTTGTGAAGTACTTCTTTTTTTACTAGACTACACTCCAAATTCCAGAGTCAGAAATCTAAATCTAAATGTTTGTCTGATTGTTGTCGTTTTTCCATATGGGATGGAATCTGTTTTGTGTTGTTCTAGCTTCTCCTATGACCTTGATCCCGCCCCTCCCTGCCTTTGGTGCAGGGCTCCGGCAATCACGACACGAGCTGGGTCAGTAAACAGTCTTTGATGAGCAGACATTCTCCGAGAGAGATAAGTGTCTGAAGCAGCCGTTGTTGCCCTCCTTTGTGCCCACTCCAGATCCGTTGCCATAACGATACCTGCCCTCCTCTTTTTCCTCTTCAGTCAGACTGCTTCCTTCACCATCATCCTCTTCATCACTTCTTTCATCTCTGGTCATCTGGAGTCATGAGAGAGACAGAGAGACAGAGAGATAGATAGAGAGAGAGAAATCTATTAATGGTCCTAAAAACAATGTACTCAGAACATACAGCAAGATTCCTCTTTCTACCTCAGAGACCATCATTATCTCTAACACAGTAGTTCCCAAAGTTGGCCGCCTTCGATCAATCAAAACCACCTGGAGTTTAATCCATGGTAGGTCAGGTCAGTCTTTCAGGTTTACCAATATAGGCTCTTTTCTCTTTCCTTGAGCCTTCTGACCGTTCTGAGTCACACTGTGCTCTCCACCAATATAATTATGTTAGGCACAATGCTAAATCCCCAATAATTAGGTTCCAATGGCAACCCACTGTTGCCTTGTGACCTCGTGGGGGTTGAGTAATTGCCTCTGGCACCTTGGCTGTTTTCTGCCATTGCCGTAGCTGACAGGGATCAAGCACCTTGCCAAGCCCAACACACTTGCACACACACACACACTTGCACACACACTTGCACACACACACACACACACACATGCACACACTCGCACAATGTTCTAACTGCCCAGTCAGTAAGTCTACATTCACAGAATGAGAACAATGAAACAATAAAACAAGCTAGATTCTAGACCACATTGACAGAGAACAGACACTGTAGTCATCTACTGAACAGACACTGTAGTCATCTGACAGAACAGACACTGTAGTCATCTGACAGAACAGACACTGTAGTCATCTGACAGAACAGACACTGTAGTCACCTGACAGAACAGACACTGTAGTCATCTGACAGAGAACAGACACTGTAGTCATCTGACAGAGAACAGACACTGGTGGAGTCATCTGACAGAGAACAGACACTGTAGTCATCCGACAGAGAACAGACACTGGTGGAGTCATCTGACAGAGAACAGACACTGTAGTCATCTGACAGAGAACAGACACTGTAGTCATCTGACAGAGAACATACACTGTAGTCATCTGACAGAGAACAGACACTGGTGTAATCATATGATAGAGAACAGACACTGGTGTAGTCATCTGACAGAGAACAGACACTTGTGTAGTCATCTAACAGAGAACAGACACTGTAGTCATCTGACAGACAGAACAATGACACTGGTGTAGTCATCTGAAGAGAACAGACACTGGTGGTCATCTGACAGAGAACCGACACTGGTGGTCATCGACAAGACACAACCTGGTGGAGTCATCCTGACCAGGAACAGACACTGGTGGAGTCATCTGACAGATAACGACACTGGTGAAGTTCAGCTGAGAACAGACACTGGTGGAGTCATCTGACAGAGAACAGACACTGGTGTAGTCATCTGACAGAGAACAGACACTGCAGTCATCTGACAGAGAACAGACACTGGTGTAGTCATCTGACAGAGAACAGACACTGCAGTCATCTGACAGAGAACAGACTATTATTCTACCATGTAGAAAATAGTAAAAATAAAGAAAACCTCTGGAATGAGTAGGTGTGTCCAAACCTTTGACTGGTACTGTATGTGCTGTATAGGATGGTGTGTAGAGACATTAATATATGTATAGAAAAGGTGTGTACAGCAGTAGCTATATAGGATGGTTTTTCACTGATCTACCCCAGTACTAGTACACCTGTTTCATCTTGTCAACTAATCATCAACCTCTGGTCAACTAATCATCAACCTCTGGCCAACTAATCATCAACCTCTGGTCAACTAATCATCAACCTCTGGTCAACTAATCATCAACCTCTGGTCAACTAATCATCAACCTCTGGTCAACTAATCATCAACCTCTGGTCAACTAATCATCAACCTCTGGTCAACTAATCATCAACCTCTGGTCAACTAATCATCAAGCTCTGGTCAACTAATCATCAACCTCGGGTCAACTAATCATCAACCTCGGGTCAACTAATCATCAACCTCGGGTCAACTAATCATCAAGCTCTGGTCAACTAATCATCAACCTCTGGTCAACTAATCATCAAGCTCTGGTCAACTAATCATCAAGTTGGTATTCTGTCAATTTGTAAGTACCATCACAGTCATAGCAAGTTCATGTTGAGTCAATAAAGTAGTTATCAGCAAAGCCAGTGCTAGTAGGAAAATACTTGTCAATACTTGATTTATTTAAGGTACTCTTTGAAGAGGTAGGGTTTCAGACGTTTTCAGAAGATGGGCAGGGACTCTGCTGTTCTAGCTTCAGGGGGAGGCTGGTTCCACCAATGGGCTGCCAGGACTGAGAAGAGCTTTGACTGGGCTGAGTGGTAGCTGACCCCCCTGTAGGTCATTCCACTTATTTGACTTATCCCAAAACCAGCAAGCCTAATTCCAACTAATCAAAGGCTTGATGATTAGTTGACCAGATAATAATAAATAATAATAATATGCCATTTAGCAGACGCTTTTATCCAAAGCGACTTACAGTCATGCGTGCATACATTATTTATTTTTTGTGTATGGGTGGTCCCGGGGATCGAACCCACTACCTTGGCGTTACAAGCGCCGTGCTCTACCAGCTGAGCTACAGAGGACCACAGATGAAAACAGGTATGCTAGTACTGGGGTAGATCAGTGGAAGACCACCTGTTTATGGAAGTGGAACGACTGGGGGTACTCAGAGAGCGGTTTGGGAACCACTGGTTTGAGTGTCAGACTGGTATGATTCAGGCCTGCTTTAAGTGGTGACTTTGTGACCAAATGATGGACGTCATAAAGGGAATGGATGAAGAATGTAAAAAAAACACTGACAAAAAGATGACTCACTTTGCCGAAGAGGAACTTCTTGACCATTCTCAGGATGAGGTAGGCCCAGAAGATGTGTAGGAACAGGAGGACCAGCAGCATCACATTGAAGAAGTAGTATCCAAAGAACGGGGGGTACTGGAGGGTGGGGTACACCCATGTACAGTGGATCAGCCTGGAATTACAGAAACAATACAAACAATGATGATGATGATGAAGATGGTGCATTTTACTCTGTTAAACATGTAAACTTGTTCTGGGTGGTGTTCAGTGTGGATGGAAGGCCGTGAAGCAGAGGCAGTATAACCAATAAGAATCCAATAAGGCTCTTTTTCCTATTCAAAATGTTTAGCTTTTCATGCCTACTAATCACAAGCCGTTGTGAAGGAAAATAATGGCTAACCTTTGCTTTACAGGGCTTTATCATTATTGAAATAACCAGGTAAATACTATGGAACTATCTGTAGCTTTTCACCTTTCGTTCTCATTCAATTCAAATGAATTGTTGTCTGACTCAGGAAAGATGAATCAGTTGCAGAAACACTGGGTCGTATTCAATAGGCACCAGACTGAAACGGGAAGGGACAACCTGAACCTGACCAATCATAAACCTTCTTTCTTTTTTATTTATTTGTGACTACAGAGCAGGGGGGGAAATAATTAAAATATGTGGGGGGAAAAAAAAGAAACGTTTGTTTATTTTCTCTGCAGAGAACAGAACATTATGTTTTGTACTCTCGCAAAGGTCAACGTCTCTTTGTTTGGCCTTTCAGAGTGGAATGAGATGGTTGATTGTTTCTAACAGGAGAGACAGACAGAACATAATTCAATAAATATTGACTTCTGTATCACTGAGCGCTCACGAGACAAAGACATTCACCTGACAATTACTCCTCCTGTGTGCCAACTGGTAAACATATAATAGAGAGCCCCACACACACACACACACACACACACACACACACACACACCTAGGGCTTGTCAGTTGCCTTACCAGAATGGGAAGATGATCAGTCGGGTTACCATGAACACAATAGCAAACACCACAAAGAGACTGTTGCAGGTTCTCTCCCATTTGGCGTAGTTAAACAACTTGGCAGACTGGGGTAGGAGAGAGAAAACCACGCAATGAGTCTCCCCGCTATCATACTGCACAGCTCAATCTATGGGTGTCTTCTAAATGGCACCCTATTCACTTCAGTGCACTACTTTTGTCAGGAGCCCTACGTTTAACAGGGGGCCATTTGGGACGTAACCGTTGCTTTAGATTAAAGTGTCTGCCACAGACACACACACACACACACACACACACACACACACACACACACAGAGAGAACACACCACACATGCAGAGATACAGGCCCACACACACACTCCATGTGGTAGCAGACCTCTAGTAAGACGTCGGAGGCATCGTGAATGAGCATCACCAGGGTTCCTATGCGGATGTAGTTGACACACCAAGAGAAGGACAGCAGTGTCAGGGTGGCCAAATGGTGGATGATCTGTTCCTTAAAGTCCTAGAGGAGACAACACAACGCACAACAAAGATCATCACCTGTTGTTGTTGTTGTTTCTGTTGGCACTGTTGTTATCCTACTACGTGTCCTCAAAATGACCTGATAGTGTTACATGCATAACTCAGCAGGCAGATGGACAATGTCAGGCATGTTGGACCAACTAATAAAACGGCTAATCGTGTGTGTCATATAGTGGAAATGATAATAAACTGTAATTGCTTATGAGGAGCCAACTGCAATTTACTATTTATAAAAAATACTTTGTTGATTTCCTGATATGGTCATTTCTACACACTTTGTACTTTTCATCTCCATAAGACATTTAATGCCTCGCTGGCCAGAGGTGGCAGGCCGCCATTTAATTAGAACTGGAGTAGGGGAACTCGTGAGAAAGCAGAGCTTTAGTACCTCTGTTGTTTTTCCATCTTATGAGAAGCAGGTAAACGGGTTAGAGTGGAAGATAATGCAGGGGTATGCGAAAGAAAGCAGAGCTTGAGAAAAGCCCATAGGGGCTGGCAGGGACTGGGATCCCCGACTCTCACCTTCCTCTTGACATCAAAGGTGACTCTGAAGAGAAGAGAACCATAGAAACTCATCTCCAGCATGTAGTACCAGTACTGAGAATCCAGCATAGTCTAGACAGAGACAGAGAGAGACAGAGAGAGCGAGACAGAGACAGAGACAGAGACAGAGAGAGAGAGAGAGAGAGAGAGAGAGAGAGAGAGAGAGAGAGAGAGAGAGAGCGGGAGACAGAGAGAGAGAGAGAGGAGACATAGCAGAGAGAGAGAGAGAGAGAGAACAGAGAGAGATAGAGAGAGAGAGAAGAGGGAGAGAGAAGAGAGAGAGAAGATATACAGACAGAGATGTAGAGAGAGATAGATTACGAGATAGAGATAGATATAAGAGAGATAGATTATATCGGTATTATCTCCGCTCCCTTTAAAAGATAATGAGATGTGTGTAGAGAGAGGGAGAGATAAACACCAGTAACAGGTAACATGATCCTACAGTGCCATGAATGAATCACAGTCCCACAGAATGGACTCAAAACAAAGAGCTCTCCAAAGCCCTTCTCCTTTGTCTGAGTGTTTGCATCAGAAATGGCACCCTATTCCCTATATAGTGCAAAGGGCTCTGTTCAAAAGTAGTGCACTAAATAGTGAATAGGGTGCCATTTCGGAGGGAGACAGTGTCTCTAGCTGGGGCAAAGAAATCAGGGGTTGTATAGCTATCAAGCATCTTAGAGTAGAAGTGCTGATTTAAGATCAGTTTTGCCTTTTAGATCACAATGAAAAAGAATACATGGATAGAGGGGACCTGATCCTAGATCAGCACTCCTATTTAGAGACCCTTGACACATACGGCCCCAGAGCTACATGGTGATTTACACTCCGCTATTTCACCTGGTTTTTACTTAGCAACTACATGGTTAAAATTATAATTGCATAATAATTAGTCTACCTAATAACCACTTTTTATTTTGGGGGATTCATCAACATGAGCCCTTCTAAGTAGGCCTACAACTTGGATACCAGGTAAGTTACCAACTGTGTTGAATTCTTTGTTGCAAATACGATCACATAAAGCACATCCAACATCTCTCTATAAACTATGTCTTCATCCCAAATGACACCCTAGTCCTAATGTAGTGCACTACGTTTGACCAGGGCCCATATGGGGCGCCATCTGGGACGTGGCCTGTATCTACTTAGATCTGCTTTAAACCCCAAACAACATTGTTAGGTGTGGAGCCTGATCAAACATTATCCTAGCCTCGCCGTTCCAGTTTGGGTGATATCATCATTCCTTTGATTAGGACCTGGCACCCAGTAAAGATTGAACAGCAATCTAAACCATACACACATTCCCCCACATGTTAAAAATAAATCAAGTAAATTAAAAAATAAATAGTCTCACTACTAAATATGGACCTGTGTGTATATGTGTGTGTGTTTTGGACCTGAGAATAAGTATTAGACAAGTTGTATATGTTTTATTTGTGAGCAAATTCGTAAATCTGGACATTGCGTGAAAATGTTAGCCAATAGTTGAGGCTGTTCAAGTATGATGTGCTGTTGTTCTTCCTGGTTAGTTCTACTGGTGTGGAGACACATTAGAAGAGTTAAGGGAGAGTGAGAGCTCTTAGAAATCTCTCTGGTAAATCACCAGTAGTGCTGAGCTATTAATTATTTATTTTTTTACAACTAATTGACGAACGTTGGTTCAATTATTTGAATGTATTCTGTGAGCTCAATGTGAAGTTTCTCTATAGAGAAATCAGATCAAGCCTGTAGGGAGTTGTAGTTTCCAACCCACCAATATTCTATATGCCTCCTTGTCTGGTCGGTGTGGGCAGAGATCTGTATATAATGACGAGATGCTCATGTCTCCACCCTAACAATGGGAGCCGTTGTCCCAAAGGCAGGAAGACAGGTGACAAGCTTAGGTCCAAAATAAGCCCCCAAAATATGTTATGAAAGTAAAGTATTGTGAATAATAAGCCATAATGGGCCGTCACTACCATCATGGGACTGTTATTCATTGTTTTATTCTGTGTTGTTTCAGCATTCAATCCACATAATGCATACATTTTTATGTTTCCAAAAATCTAACCGAAAAATCTGATCATTTTTTAAATAATCAAACCGAAACCGAACTGACCTCAAAAAGCACTAATCGCTCAGCAGTAGGCCTAATGACCAGAACACACACGTGTCCACACTCACACACATATACACTATACGCACGCATACACACCTGTTTAGGAAATCTGTTCCACACTTCCCGTGTGTCATAAAACCATTCTTTCTGAAATACAAAAAAACAAAGAAAAAACATGCAGTGAAATCTTTAAAGAACATTACAGGACAATCTCACCATGATGCTTTCAATTTAAACAGTTGGTACTGGCATTGGCTAGAGGCCTCCAGGCACTTGCTGAAGCCATCACCGTCAAATTCCCATAGAGCTCATCTCTCTGTCCTCTCCTCTCCTCTTCCCCCTCTCCTCCCTTCACTTCAGGGCAGAATGACTGAAGAGAAGTTCTCAATTTCAGCTCAGATAATATTTTTATCCAGCAATTGAGTCTTCCATTTTGACCTCCTCCCTGCTTTTACCCGGGACAACCTGTTAATGTTCTACTTTGATTATGTCCATTTTTTATGTATAACATATCAAAAAGTGTTAGGAATTTGTAGCCGGTGCGTGTTTTTGTGGTACTGAATGTAACAGAGTTAAAATACCGTAACCTCACTCCACAACTTGACATCTCTCGACACACGCCGAATTGCTAGCTTGTAAAGACTTGTGTTTGTGAAGCAGAGGATCATTAGGGTATACTCACATCATACAGGGACATAACTCCTCCAATTAACGCCAACAGATAGAACACAAACCTCCAACTGCAAGACAGACAGACAGGGGAAGGTGAAAATGTGGCATAAGCATTCTATCTCCCACATGTGCTCAAGCACACACACACACTTACAAACTTACACCCGTTTTACCTAGCCTCTCTGAACTTCTTCAGTACTCCGGGACGATCCTGGTTTCTTCTCTTTCTGAACCAGCGCTCCACCTGCCTAACGGACCAGCCGCTCTTCTTAGACAGACCATCTATAACTGCCTGGGAGACGTACACACACACACACACACACACACACACACACACACACACACATAAACACACACACACACACACAAGAGTTCAGAGCCAAGTGTGTTTGATTAGCGCCAGCTGCCAGCTAAACAGAGGACTACTAACCCTTATGTGGACGGCTACTAAGTTGACTTCAATAAATTGGGGTGCATCAGACGTCACCAAATTGGCTTTAGTAGGGAAAATGTGTCCCCACTAGCAGATTTCAGGAAGACATTGGACCCTGAGTACTGTGTAGCAGTCAGAGGAGCTGATGATGTCTCACTGGAGATTGTCTACATCAGCAAAATAAGCATTATTTAGATCTGAGAGAGAGGTCTCGTGGTGTGAGGCCTCAAGACTGTCTGGACCCTCTGATGATATACACACATTTTATTTATTTATTTGACCTTTATTTAACTTGGCAAGTCAGTTAAGAACACATTCTTATTTACAATGACGGCCTACACCGGCCAAACCCGGACGACGCTGGGCCAATTGTGCGCCGCCCTATGGGAGAATCACATCAGGAGAATCACACACACACACAAGCGCACATGTGGACACAGCCACACAAATGTGTGCACGTACACACACAAGCGCACATAGACACATTGATACACTCACACACAAATGTGCACACACACTCGCGCACACACCTCATGTGGAGAGACGGGTAAAGGGTCAAAGTCATGTGGATAAACATTAACATCCCTCATGACCACATGGTCAGTCATGGACCAAAACATTTGACCTGGAGCATAGTAGCTGCATTAGAGGTTAGTCAACTGGACATCTGGGTGATGTACACAATCACAGGTCTGAACATCAGATATACAGTGCATTTGGAAAGTATTCAGACCCCTTGACTTTCTCCACATTTTGTTACTTACAGCCTTATTCTAAAATTGATTAAAATAGCTTTTTTTCCTCATCGATCTACACACAATACCCCATAATGACGAAGCAAAAATTGGTTTTTAGAAATGTTTGCAAATTCATAAAATATTTAGAACTGAAATATCACATTTACATACAGTACCAGTCAAAGGATTGGACACACCTACTCATTACAGGGTTTTTCTTTATTTTTACTATTTTCTACATTGTATAATAATAGTGAAGATATCAAAACGAACACATATGGAATCATGTAGTAACCAAAAATGTGTTAAACAAATCAAAATATATTTTATATTTGAGATTCTTCAAAATAGCCACCCTTTGCCTTGATGACAGCTTTGCACACTCTTGGCATTCTCTCAACCGGCTTCACCTGGAATGCTTTTCCAACGGTCTTGAAGGAGTTCCCACATATGCTGAGCACTTGCTGGCTGCTTATCCTTCACTCTGCGGTCCGACTCATCCCAAACCATCTCAATTGGGTTGAGGTTGGGGGATTGTGGAGGCCAGGTCATCTGATGCAGCACTCCATCACACTCCTCCTTGGTAAAATAGCCCTTACACAGCCTAGAGGTGTGTTGGGTCATTGTCCTGTTGAAAAACAAATGATAGTCCCACTAAGCCCAAACCAGATGGGACGGCGTATCACTGCAGAATGCTGTGGTAGCCATGCTGGTTAAGTGTGCCTTGAATTCTAAATAAATCACAGACAGTGTCACCAGCAAGCACCCCCACACCATAACACCTTCTCCTCCATGCTTTACGGTGGGAAATACACATGCGGAGATCATCCGTTCACCCACACCGCGTCTCACAAAGACACGGCGGTTGGAACCAAAAATCTCCAATTTGGACTCCAGACCAAAGGACACATTTCCACCGGTCTAATGTCCATTGCTCATGTTTCTTGCCCCAAGCAAGTCTCTTCTTCTTATTGGTGTCCTTTAGTAGTGGTTTCTTTGCAGCAATTCGATCATGAAGGCCTGATTCACACAGTCCACTCTAAACAGTTGATGTTGAGATGCGTCTGTTACTTGAACTCTGTGAAGCATTTATTTGGGCTGCAATTTCTGAGGCTGGTAACTCTAATGAACTTATCCTCTGCAGCAGAGGTAACTCTTGGTCTTCCAGTCCTCATGAGGCGGTCCTCATAATAGCGCATGATGGATTTTGCGACTGCACTTTAAGAATCTTTCAAAGTTCTTGAAATGTTCCGTATTGCCTGACCTTCATGTCTTAAAGTAATGATGGACTGTTGTTTCTCTTTGCTTATTTGAGCTGTTCTTGCCATAATAAGGACTTGGTTTTTTACCAAATAGGGCTATCTTCTGTATACCCCCCCTACCTTGTCACAACACAATTGATTGGCTCAAACGCATTAAGAAGGAAAGAAATTCCACACATTACCTTTTAACAAGGCACACGTGTTAATTGAAATGCACTCCAGGTGACTATCTCATGAAGCTGGTTGAGAGAATGCCAAAAGTGTGCAAAGCTGTCATCAAGGCAAAGGGTGGCTATTTGAAGAATCTCAAATCTCAAATATATTTTGATTTGTTTAACACTTTTTTGGTTACTACACGATTCCATATGTGTTATTTAATAGTTTTGATGTCTTCACTATTATTCTACAATGTAAAAAATAGTACAATTAAAGAAAAACCCTTGAATGAGTAGGCGTGTCCAAACTTTGACTGGTAAAATATTCAGACCCTTTACTCAGTACTTTGTTGAAGCACCTTTGGCAGCGATTACAGCCTCGAGTTTTCTTGGGTATGATGCTACAAGCTTGGCACACCTGTATTTGGGGCCAGGTTGGATGGAGAGCGTCGCTGCAAAGCTATTTTCAGGTTTCTCCAGAGATGTTCGATCGGGTTCAAATCCGGGCTCTGGCTGGGCCACTCAAGGACATTCAGAGACTTGTCCCGAAGCCACTCCTGCGTTGTCTTGGCTGTGTACTTACGGTCATTGTCCTGTTGGAAGGTGAACCTTCGCCCCAGTCTGAGGTCCTGAGCGCTCAAAGATCTCTCTGTACTGTGCTCCGTTCATCTTTCCCTCGATCCTGACTAGTTTCCCCAGTCGCTGCCGCTGAAAAACATCCCCACAGCATGATGTTGCCACCACCATGCTTCACCGTAGGGATGGTGCCAGGTTTCCTCCATACGTGACGCTTGGCATTCAGGCCAAAGAGTTCAATCTTGGTTTCATCAGACCAGAGAATCTTGTTTCTCATAGTCTGAGAGTCCTTTAGGTGCCTTTTGGCAAACTCCAAGCAGCCTGTCATGTGCCTTTTACTGAGGAGTGGCTTCCGTCTGGCCACTCTACCATAAAGGCCTGATTGGTGGAGTGCTGCAGAGATGGTTGTCCTTCTAGAAGGTTCTCCCATCTCCACAGAGGAACTCTGGTCACCTCCCTGACCAAGGCCATTCTCCCCCGATTGCTCAGTTTGGCCGGGTGGCCAGCTCTAGGAAGAGTCTTGTTGGTTCCAAACTTCTTCCATTTAAGAACGATGGAGGCCACTGTTTTCTTGGGGACCTTCAATGCTGCAGAAATGTTTTGGTACCCTTCCCCAGATCTGTGCCTTGACACAATCCTGCCTCGGAGCTCTATGGACAATTCCTTCAACCTCATAGCTTGGTTTTTGCTCTGGCATGCACTGTCAACTGTGGGACCTTAAATAGACAGGTGTGTGCCTTTCCAAATCATGTCCAATCAATTGAATTTACCACATGTGGACTCCAATCAAGTTGTAGAAACATCTCAAGGATGATCAATGGAAACAGGATGCACCGGAGCTCAATTTCGAGTCTCATAGCAAAGGGTCTGAATACTTATGTAAATAAGGTATTTATGTTTTTTAACTTTAATACATTTGCAAACATTTCTAAAAACCTGTTTTTGATGTGTCATTATGCGGTATTGCGTGTAGATTGATGAGGAAAATGTTTTATTTAATCAATATTAGAATAAGGCTGTAACGTAACAAAATGTGGAAAAAGTCAAGGGGTCTGAATACTTTCCCAATGCACTGTGTGTATGTTACTACCCCTGACTGAGCCAGAATGGCCTATCCTATACCTGTAGCATCTGGACATACAAGTACACCCCCTGGACAGGTGAACTAACTTGAATGCAACCAAATTAACTTGAATTTCTATTGCAGGGCCATACCCCAAATCCATCTCCTTAATGCTGACTCTAGTCTTTGGTATGACTAGACCAGGGATCAAATCCCCAACCTTCCAATCTCAGGGCCGACACTCTAACCACAAGGCCACTGAGTTGGTCAGAGCATCAGATGGGGTAAAACCAATTTAGCAGAAGACCTAATCCATGTATATTCTCAAAACAACAGCTGTTTGTCTCCTGACACTAGCCATCAGACCTGGGTTCACAAAATATTAGTTTTCTTTTGAATAATTGAGTGTTAACTAGGCTTGCAAACATCTGGTAATTATTTGTATTTATTTTTCTGAAATCCGAGTTGGAAGACTCCAGGGATCAGGAGGAATCCAGAATCCTCCAACCATGATTTCAGGAAAACCTGGGAATTTGGGGTTGATTGATTGAGCTTGACCAGAGTGCCGGATGGGCAGGGTTTGACCAGAGTGCCGGATGGGCAGGGTTTGACCAGAGTGCCGGATGGGCAGGGTTTGACCAGAGTGCCAGATGGTCAGGGTTTGTACTATTCAGGCTATTAGAATGTATTTAATCTCATAGTGTAATGACGTTTGATATTGACACTAATAATCAGGTCTACATGTAAAAGGTGTAAATGTGATTTGTAATATTGACACTGTAGGGTTAATACCTGGCCAGGGGTTCTGGAGTGGGAGAGGTAGTAGGTTAATACCTGGCCAGGGGTTCTGGAGTGGGAGCGGTAGTAGGTTAATACCTGGCCAGGGGTTCTGGAGTGGGAGAGGTAGTAGGTTATTACCTGGCCAGGGGTTCTGGAGTGGGAGAGGTAGTAGGTTAATACCTGGCCAGGGGTTCTGGAGTGGGAGAGGTAGTAGGTTAATACCTGGCCAGGGGTTCTGGAGTGGGAGAGGTAGTAGGTTAATACCTGGCCAGGGGTTCTGGAGTGGGAGAGGTAGTAGGTTAATACCTGGCCAGGGGTTCTGGAGTGGGAGAGGTAGTAGGTTAATACCTGGCCAGGGGTTCTGGAGTGGGAGAGGTAGTAGGTTAATACCTGGCCAGGGGTTCTGGAGTGGGAGCGGTAGTAGGTTAATACCTGGCCAGGGGTTCTGGAGTGGGAGAGGTAGTAGGTTAATACCTGGCCAGGGGTTCTGGAGTGGGAGCGGTAGTAGAGCTCCAGGATAGGGTTGTCTGCTACTCTCAGTCTGGCCTTCTCCCGGATCCCCACTGAGGTGGCTAGAGGCGTGGCTATCAACCTGAAGGACAACATACAGATGCGGTCAAATATATTGGACTTTACAATGGAGCAGAATGTTCCCTTTTTTTCTTTTCAAAACCGGTTGAATTTTTACCTTGTTTTTACCTTATAGGCACATGCAAGTCACCACAGGTGAGATGAACTACACACTAAATGAGAATCATTGCCTCCAACCAAATTAACTTGAATTTTGAATCATTTAGTCCAAGCCATTCTTTTGGGAAAAATCTCAATTTCATTTTTGATGTTGTAAATCAAACAAATACACCTGTAACACCAGAAGTATTTTCAATAACAACTTATTTCTGAAGAAATAGTGAATCATGCAAGGGTGCCAATATATCTGACCGCATTTCTAATGGTGAGACTAGAGTGATCCTCTAGACTTAAATACACACACACACACACAAGTGCACATGCTCACAAACACATATGCACTATGCACACACACACATAGACAAGCACATGCGAGGGGATAAAGATAAAGACACACACTCACACACACTCACACACAGTACCAAAGCAGGTGAAATTGTAACTTAATATCTACTTCCCTGTAGCAACCTATAAAAGGGGCTTTTCTGTTCAGCGAGCTCTCCTTTCAAACTGGTATCTGATGAGAGGGAATTCTATAGTGTAGGGGGACAGTGAGGTAGAGGTTTGATCTAAACATGGTTTAGTAGTATATGAACAGTACAGAGTACGAGCCGGTTCTCTGGACACAGCATAGTCCTGGACTAGAAACCATTTCAATGGAAAATCTCCATTGAACAAACTATAATATTATACAGGGCTGTGAAAAAGTATTTGCCCCATTTCTAATTTTCTCTACTTTTGCATATTTTTTTGTACTGAATGTTATCAGCTCTTCAACCAAAACCAAGATAAAGGGAACCTGAGTGAACAAATAACACAACAATTACATACTTGGGTCCCATTATGTTTAGACTAATGACTAATGTGGGAACTCCTATAGACTAATGGGTCCCATTATGTCTGGCAAAAACCAAACACGGCATTCCACAGTAAGAACCTGTGGTGGTAGTTTGATGCTTTTGGGATGCTTTGCTGCCTCAGAACCTGGACCACTTGCCTTAATAGAATGAATCATGAATTCTGCTCTGTATCAGAGAATTCTACAGATGTTGCTGAGTTAAAGCAGTTCTGCATGGAAGAGTGGGTAAAAATTCCTATACAGCGACGTGAGAGACTGATCAACAACTACAGGAAGCGTTTGGTTGCAGTCATTGCAGCTAAAGGTGGCACAACCAGTTATTGAATGTAAGGGGGCAATTACTTTTTCACACCGGGGAATTGGGTGTTGCTTAACTTTTTTAATTAAATCAATAAAATAAGTATCAATTTTTTGTGTTATTTGTAAACTCAGGTTCCCTTTATCTAATATTAGGTTTTGGTTGAAGATCTGATAACATTCATCAAAAATATGTAAAAATAGAGAAAATCAGAAAGGGGCCAAATACTTTTCCACGGCTCTGTAGATACCATTTAGTAAGACACTTTTATCCAAAGCCACTTACAGTCATGCATGCATACATACATTTTACGTATGGGTGGTCCCGGAAATCGAACCCTCAATCCTGGCAATGCAAGCGCCATGCTCTACTAACTGAGCCATACAGGACTACAGGAAAACATGTTTCTTAGTCAAGGCTTAAACTTTGTCCGGGAAACTGCCCCTATATGTCAGCCAGCTCACCTTTCGAACAGGTATCTGACCAGTAGGAAGGCTATGGCATAAGGCAACGTCACATAGAGGTCAGAGGCTTTGGCGTAGACATGTCCATCTCGGTCCTCTAGGTCAGCCCAGGTCAGGTTGACAGGCAGCCAGATGCGGTCCCACCAGATCCACTCGTATAGGGTGTCAATCATCCTGACAACACTGGGGTGGGAGAGGAGGGTTACGTTAGAAAACACGTGTCAATAGGTATCACATGTTATCAAACAGAGGAGGCTGGTGAGGGGAGGACGGCTCATAGTAATGGCTGAAATGGTATGAATGGAATGCTTACAAACACATGGAACAAGTGTTGGATACCATTCCATTTATTCCGTTCCAGCCATACTATGCTCTCCTCCTCTGATTTAAAGTGCCACCAGCCACCACTGTTATCAAGTGAGGCCTGATGAAGACCTAAAGTAAAGTGGAAACGATGTCGCCAATAAAACACATGGGAGCAAGATTGCAGTATCTTTCAATCATTTGCTGAATATATGTTTTTATATCCAGCACCTCAAAAACATTGTTTACATGCAATCATTGTACCATCTAAAACGCTGTGAAATATATTTTCGAATTTTTAACAGTTTGAAGCTGGTGTACGAAACACAAAGCGCAAAAAGGAAACGTAAAGAGAGGAAGCAGAGAAATAGTGCACATGGAATGGATTCATCACTTATCAGAATTGCTTCAATGACAATGACAGATCTGTATGAAAAATGTATGCACTCACTAAACTGTAAGTTGCTCTGGATAAGAGCGTCTGCTAAATGACTAAAATGTAAAATGTAAATGTATAACTCACATTTTTATCTGAATTCTGTCGGGTCGGCACAAAGCTACATACTGCAGCTTTAACCATTTTTTGAAGCAAAGTTTGTTTACAAGTACACGGTTTACAAACAACAGAGTAAAACAAACAAGCTTATATTTTGGGTTCTGATGGGGGTTCGGCAGTTGAACTAAGCTAATAAGGCATTTATAAAAGTTATATTCTTTAAGAAACAATGTGTATATATCATTAATTTAAGTCCAGAAATGGAAGTATCAAATCACAGATTGCCCCTTAAAGATGGAATCCGCAGTAGGGGTAACAGAGCCACTGTCTGCCCCACGGCTGCTGTTATTGTTTGTTTTGTCAACAAGAGGTGAGTAGTGTCGCCCAAAGTGGTAAAACAAATTGCAGTACACTATTCTGCTGTTCTATTGCGCGTGCATTGATGTCCAAGACAAAAACTGTGTTCATTGTTCTTTTTGTTCTAATTACAAACTGACCTGGCAATTTAACCAATAAGGATTCCATTTTTAAGAGGAAGGGGTTGAACTTACAATTGGGTAACAGAGCAAGGTAAAGTAGCCAGTCTTTATTTTCATGTACTTTATTTATGAACCAGATAACCAGGAATTGATCATGATATATTGCTCATAAATCGCTAGTTCCAGATGTCAAGAGTGCATTCATTCACTATCAGTCAGATTTGATACCATTTTACAACATGAGGCGATGAGTTCATTGGACACCAGTCCTGTAGGTCATGTAGATAGTGTGGGTGTGTATAGCCTAGGTCACTTCCAGTAAAGTGCACATCCAGTTCTTTATTTCCAATACAAATATTGACACAATGGCCTTCACCCCTTTCTCACAATGCTTCCCCACACCTAGTCCAACACACACACACACACACACACACACACGTCAGCAGATAAAACATCACTGGCAGTGGTAGTCAATGGAATACAGGGCTGTAGCCTAGCAACATATCCCAGTAAATCACGGACTACTCTTTTTTTCTTTGTAGTTTTTTCTAAACCGAGGTCAGAGTTGAAACAGATCCCAACCACTAGTGGTCCAGTCATGGTTAAAGAGTTATAGAGTTCTTCGACTCCCAGGTGGCAGTGAGGACATACAGCAGGGTTCCCCAACAGGTGGTTTTATTTATTTATTGTTGGACATAAGACTGTAAAAACACCTGGAAATCAGCTCCAAGTGATTTACATTTTGGAAATCTGTTCCCAAGTATTCCCATGCGTCATAGAGAGACGTGACGTATACAAACGTAAGCAAGGTTTGAAATGACTATGTCTTAGTGAAATATTATATCTGTTTGGGCTTTTTGGGGTCAATTTACAGTCTACAAATTATTTGTAATAATGTTCCGGCCCCCCAACCATCCACTCAATAAATAAATAGTCCTGCAGCTGAATCTCGTTGACTGATTTATGTGAAGGGAAAACACACTACTACTGAATACTGTCAACAACATCAATAGGGGGCCTCTATGGCCCTGGGCAGATTCTGATGACATGCACGCACGCACACCACACACACACACACACACCAGCCACTAAACGAGTGCAGACTATTTATTCTTCTTGTCATTTAGTCTTTCACTCTTGTGTGTGTGTGTGTGTGTGTGTGTGTGTGTGTGTGAGAGAGAGAGAGTGAGAGACTCGTTGCCCCCATGGGGACCCTTTTGATGACATCACTGCTGATGTCAGCACATCCCGGGGCTCTCTGCAGTGTTCTGGGGAGTCAGAGCACGACTCAGCACATTACACTGCCCCGCAAAAACACAACAACAACGCCACATCACAATGACTTCGCGGAGACAATGGAACCACCAACCAAACACATCTACAGTTTGAAATGGAACAACAAAACAACCTTTTAACCACAGAAATCAAATACTAGTTCAATTGCTGTGGTCTGATGGACAATGTCCTTTCTAGTAATTCTATGTCTATGCGTTTAACCTTATCTTGCACTGATTACACATCTGTGACGCAATTGCTTTGTGATTCAAAGATAATATCATGTCACCAAGCGTAATGTATACTGGCGCTACCTAGCCTGAGCACCTGTATGTTTCTTTGTTTTACTACATCAGATACAAACGACCTATCAAGCACCTGTTCTATCAAACACCTGTCTATCAAACACCTGTCTATCAAACACCTGTTCTATCAAACACCTGTCTATCAAACACCTGTCTATCAAACACCTGTTCTATCAAGCACCTGTCTATCAAACACCTGTCTATCAAACACCTGTTCTATCAAGCACCTGTCTATCAAACACCTGTCTATCAAACACCTGTCTATCAAACACCTGTTCTATCAAACACCTGTCTATCAAACACCTGTCTATCAAACACCTAAACAGCAATAAGTCCAACTGAGCCGTGTTAGTATGCCACTGCAATGTACAGTATGTATTATGTTGAGGATGCAATGTACAGTGTTTATTTTGTATACAGCAGTACTGTGTGTCTAAGACAATTTTGACATGGGGAACATTACAATGTATCCTTTACTAGCACCCATGGTAGACAACCTAGTCTCGTCGGACTGGTCCATAGAGCGATGAGCAGTGTGCATCAGTGGTGTCCTTCTACCCCCCCCCCCCCCCCCAAAAAAAAAATTGTAAAGTGGTTATCCCACTGCCTATAGGGTGAATGCACCAATTTGTGAGTCGCTCTGGTTAAGAGCGTCTGCTAAATGACGTAAATGTGCCCTTGAGCAAGGCACTTAACCCTAATTGCTCCTGTAAGTCGCTCTGGATAAGAGCGTCTGCTAAATGACTAAAATGTAAATGTAAATGGTGTACTGCCAGAACACCGCTGATAAGGAAGATATTTTGTATTGTTAGCATTCTGATGTTGAAGATTATCTGGGGATTCAGACATTCAGTCAATGAAGAACATGACAAAGCACACTCTGTCTGCAAATTGTAAGGGGATGTTCCTTTCTCTCTCCCCCTCTGGTCTCTCTGTTTCTTTCTCTCTCTCCCTCTGGTCTCTCTCTGTTTCTTTGTCTCTCTCTCCCCCTCTGGTCTCTCTCTGTTTCTTTCTCTCTCTCCCTCTGGTCTCTCTGTTTCTTTATATCTATCCCTCTGGTCTCTCTGTGTTTCTTTGTCTCTCTCTCCCCCTCTGGTCTCACTGTTTCTTTCTCTCTCTCCCTCTGGTCTCACTGTTTCTTTCTCTCTATCCCTCTGGTCTCTCTGTTTCTTTCTCTCTCCCCCTCTGGTCTCTCTGTTTCTTTCTCTCTCTCCCTCTGGTCTCTCTGTTCCTTTCTCTCTCTCCCTCTGGTCTCTCTCTGTTTATTTCTCTCTCTCCCTCTGGTCTCTCTGTTTCTTTCTCTCTATCCCTCTGGTCTCTCTCTGTTTCTTTCTCTCTATCCCTCTGGTCTCTCTCTGTTTCTTTCTCTCTCTCCCTCTGGTCTCTCTGTTTCTTTCTATCTATCCCTCTGGTCTCTCTGTGTTTCTTTGTCTCTCTCTCCCCCTCTGGTCTCTCTGTTTCTTTCTCTCTCTCCCTGGTCTCTCTCTGTTTCTTTCTCTCTCTCCCTCTGGTCTCTCTGTTTCTTTCTATCTATCCCTCTGGTCTCTCTCTGTTTCTTTCTCTCTATCCCTCTGGTCTCTCTCTGTTTCTTTCTCTCTCTCCCTCTGGTCTCTCTGTTTCTTTCTATCTATCCCTCTGGTCTCTCTGTGTTTCTTTGTCTCTCTCTCTCCCTCTGGTCTCACTGTTTCTTTCTCTCTCTCCCTGGTCCCTCTCTGTTTCTTTCTCTCTCTCCCTGGTCTCTCTCCGTTTCATTCTCTCTCCCCCTCTGGTCTCTGTCCATCTCTTTCTCTCCTCTCTGTGTCTCTCCGCACTCTCTCTCTCTCTCACACACACACGTACAGGGGCACAGGGTTCAACTGTACTGGTATCGTACTTTTTCATCAACTTTCTCAAGCATGAGAAATGTTTGTCGGTAGAGAAGCATAAATGAACTAGGAGTGATTTCTTATCTTTGACGTGCATGATGAGATAAAATACGCACGCAAAAGTGGGTCGCAGACTATGACCTAGTGGGAAAATACGTTATACTTGTATACAGAGACATCATTAAGGCAGAACCTAGAACAGACTGTATGCTCAACTCAAAGAGTAGTTTAATGATTGAAAAACAATGGCTCTAATTTATCAAAGATGACCTTTAGATTTTAACCCTGAAAATGACCGTTTGGTCGTTAATTTACAGCTAAGTGCAGAATAGGAGGCCAAAGGTGAAAGGGAGGATAAATAGAGTTTTTTCCTCATTCCATACACCCACACACACACCACTAGATATCCCAAAGAACTGTGACTGGCACTGTTAACTGTAAAGCAATCCGTTTCCATGAGTACATGCTCTCCTTAGAGTAAATAAAACCAGTCAAGATTTATCTTTAAACTTGATTACATTTGGTGAGATTTTTATAGTGCCATTTAAACCAATATGGTAATTACGCTTTGTAGTTAAATGCTGATGACTTCACATGGAATATCCAGCTAAAGTGCCAGAGATCCTTCATAGTTTGAGTTTAGGCCAGTTACAGTACTATAAATCAACCGCGAGAGCGTTCAGAAAAGCATAGCCTTAGGTGGAGGGTCTCTATACACTTACTGACCTACTAAGAAAACAGAGGGTCTATTCAGTCCCATCCTAACATGGAAGATAGGGCTTAGCTCCTCTAACAGGGGGACACGCTCACCTTAAAGAGACGATTTCACTTAAACTCCAGTCAACTCCCACCGGTTGCTTCGGACGGCCTCGAGTTGAAACCTGCTCCTCCGTTAACTAGGACAGGTGTAAAACAAAAGAAAATCAGCGATAGCTATTCACATCCCAGGTAGGAGAAGCCCTAGACAACACTACTACAGCACATTCCCTGAAACCATCCAATGAATCCAAGGTCATAGTGAAATATAATATACCACTCAGCTTCCCACCGTTCCACCCTCAGTATGGAAACCAGGTAAGCTATGTCCTGTCCTCACCCTCAGTAGGGAAACCAGGTAAGGTATGTCCTGTCCTCACTCTCAGTAGGGAAACCAGGTAAGCTATGTCCTGTCCTCACTAGAGTGCGGTTGGTGTAATGTTGACTGTGGGAAACCAACAGGCATGACAGTCCCTCCATTCAGCAGGCAGGCTCTCTCTCTCCCTACCTCTCCCTGTCTTTGTTTGACATTCTTGAAAAGGGTCACACCCAGCTCAGGCACAATTGGACAGGAGTTTTTTTCCTTCCCCTCCAGGTACGTTGTCGTAGCGGGACGATAATGGAGAAGTGTCACAACGCAAGACACACCCACAGATAAACAGACAGACAGACACACAGATAAAGACACACGAGAGAGAGAGCCAGCCCTGCTACCTGCAGCCAGAGGTGCCCTCAGGTGATAATCTGTGGCTTGTTTGCATTGTTCTCCAGACAACGCAGACAGGAGAACAGGAGCTACTCCTCCACACAATAGTCCCTCTAGTAAAGCATAGTAGAGACAGATAGAACGAGGTGAAAACAGGAGTAAGGAAAGAGGAGAGGATCAACAGACAGGTGGGGAAAATAGTGATGTTTTATTGACTTGTTTCAGTGATGTTTGCATGGCCTGAAGGGAGGGAGCCAAAAGCAAATACACATAGTTGAAAGAGGTGTGTGTGTGTGTTTACTTACAATGGTCACGCAAACAGGACGTGTTGCTTTTAGAATGTCTTTATGATTAAAATGTAGTTGGAAATAAAGGAAACTGTCATCATAATCATCCCTTCATAAACAATGCTTACCTTAAGTTGTCATACAACCACAAGGTCCCCAAAAAGAGCATTCAAATCCATTCACAAATAGGATGCCATGAAAAATACAAAAGTATTAAATAAAAATATAGAGATTTAAGAAATCTAGAAGTCCCTGTTGAAGGATTCCCACAATTCCTGCTTATTCCATCCTGAATCCAGGAATCTTCCAAACGCAATTTAAACTGGGAATTTTGATAAATTTATAGGAAATGTACCACCCTAAATATAATTACAAATGAGGAGACCAAATGCATTTACCACCACGTAACCTTTATTTCATCATTACGGAGTTCAACGCCGTGAAGAACATCTCTTCGCTTCAATCTGTGTCAGCAGTTTCAAGAGCGAGGTGGCATTGTAAGGAAACAGACTCCTCCTCTGTAGTCTAGTCACCACCACTCTGAGTTCTGTCAGACACATAACCATCCTATCAAAAGTGTTGCTGTTGTGTGTGTGAATGACAGAGTTGCTGTGTAGCCTATCCTGTGTAAGGACTGATGGGAGATCCCCGTCCTCAGTCTCAGACTCCTCTGAGCTGCCGTAGTCCACCAGACGGAGAGGGGGAGGAGAGGCCAGGGTGTTTGCACTCCCTGAAGGCAGACACAGGCTGGGCTGCAGACACTGAGCTGGCTCTGGGTCCACAATGGTGACTGATCCTCCATGATGGCTCGAAGTAGACACGCTTCCACGAGAGACACACAACGACTGTTGGAGTTCCTCTCTCAGGTTGTCCAATAGTTTATCATTTTTCTGGCTAATCTTCCAGCTCAGTTTACACCGGTCCGACCCATCCATCTTCTGACAGACCGTTCGGACCCCTTCCCAGTCGTCCCGGAGGTGTTTTAGATAACGGACAAAGTACTCGAGGAAGCAGGTTTCCGTTGAGATTAGGAAATCGAGGAGAATGCTGTGGTCGAAGGAGATGCTGCGGAGGAGGAAGAGAAAGTGGCAGTGGGGGTTTCCGCCGACGACACACGCAGCATCAGCATCCAGGTCAGAGGTCACTCTGTAGGAAGACAGACAGAAGAGTCAGACATCTCTAGGACATAATAGGCTTGTTTTCCCGGACACAAAATAAGACTAATCTTGGATTTGCTAGCATCTGCATTGAGCATTGTTTTTAGTCCAGTGTCTAGGTAGGAAATTGGTCCAATTAGGTTCCCAACCTACTCCTTTATGTGGGTGACTGATCTCAGATAATCAGAGATTTCCAAATCAAAAGGTCAGATTTTCATGAGCAGAATCAAACCAACCCCTGACAAAACTACAATTCAGAATTAATACAAAAGAAAGCCACATTGCCAAAAGACAGTATTTCTATCAGTCAGTGTTTCAGTATTATAAACCAGCCATTCTACTCTTACTGTTCATCAATGTTACTAGTATTAAAGTGTGTATGAGGTGGTATGGTACCTGTGATGGAGGTATATTACTAGTATTAAAGTGTGTATGAGGTGGTATGGTACCTGTGATGGCGGTATATTACTAGTATTAAAGTGTGTATGAGGTGGTATGGTACCTGTGATGGCGGTATATTACTAGTATTAACGTGTGTATGAGGTGGTATGGTACCTGTGATGGAGGTATATTACTAGTATTAAAGTGTGTATGAGGTGGTATGGTACCTGTGATGGCGGTATATTACTAGTATTAACGTGTGTATGAGGTGGTATGGTACCTGTGATGGAGGTATATTACTAGTATTAAAGTGTGTATGAGGTGGTATGGTACCTGTGATGGCGGTATATTACTAGTATTAAAGTGTGTATGAGGTGGTATGGTACCGGTGATGGAGGTATATTACTAGTATTAACGTGTGTATGAGGTGGTATGGTACCTGTGATGGAGGTATATTACTAGTATTAAAGTGTGTATGAGGTGGTATGGTACCTGTGATGGAGGTATATTACTAGTATTAACGTGTGTATGAGGTGGTATGGTACCTGTGATGGAGGTATATTACTAGTATTAAAGTGTGTATGAGGTGGTATGGTACCTGTGATGGCGGTATATTACTAGTATTAAAGTGTGTATGAGGTGGTATGGTACCGGTGATGGAGGTATATTACTAGTATTAACGTGTGTATGAGGTGGTATGGTACCTGTGATGGAGGTATATTACTAGTATTAAAGTGTGTATGAGGTGGTATGGTACCTGTGATGGAGGTATATTACTAGTATTAACGTGTGTATGAGGTGGTATGGTACCTGTGATGGAGGTATATTACTAGTATTAAAGTGTGTATGAGGTGGTATGGTACCGGTGATGGAGGTATATTACTAGTATTAACGTGTGTATGAGGTGGTATGGTACCTGTGATGGAGGTATATTACTAGTATTAAAGTGTGTATGAGGTGGTATGGTACCTGTGATGGAGGTATATTACTAGTATTAACGTGTGTATGAGGTGGTATGGTACCTGTGATGGAGGTATATTACTAGTATTAAAGTGTGTATGAGGTGGTATGGTACCTGTGATGGAGGTATATTACTAGTATTAAAGTGTGTATGAGGTGGTATGGTACCTGTGATGGAGGTATATTACTAGTATTAAAGTGTGTATGAGGTGGTATGGTACCGGTGATGGAGGTATATTACTAGTATTAAAGTGTGTATGAGGTGGTATGGTACCTGTGATGGAGGTATATTAGTAGTAAAGCCTTGGCTGCTTCCATCATGTCGTCGTCCTGCTCTCCAAACACCAAAGACACCCAGCAGCAGGAGTGAGATCCCTGCTTCAGCTGGACCCCACGCTGGCTCAAGAACAACAGCAACGCACTCAAATAGCCATGGATGTCTATGGTGTTACGTACACCTGTGGGACCAGAGAGAAGTGAATGGACAGAGTAGGTAGAAGTTGCCTCGACCCACTGATTCCGGGTCAGATATTTTCACAGCCATAATGGTTAAGGTTCGGATTTGGGTAGGGTAATCTGATTCTAGACCTGCGGTTAGGGGTCCTGAGGAACTTTTACCTTGAGCGAGACAATACAGTGCAATACTGTTCTTGCGTGTTATGTGTTGGGAAACACTGCCCCCTATTGTATACATTGTGCAAAGCATCTGTCTGAATTATCGATCCTGTCATCATATGATGTTTTTCTCCTGATTATTTCAGCTTTAGAAATGAGTAATGTTAAAGGTAGACTCAGCGATATGACATAGCTGCAGAAAGTAAACAGCATAGTGGGGTAATTTCCGCAACAACTTCCGCGAGGCTCAACTTCTAACCTGTTTGGGTCCCGTGGCTAGCAGGCTCTAACAGCGTGAAGAGAAAACGTGCACATGCGCAGATACTGTGTGAGACTGTGGAGACTGTGTGAGAGCGGATTCTTGCATGTCGCTCATCTCAATATCCGCGGTGCTGCTCGTGGCAACGTCATTTCACTGAGTCTACCTTTAAAGTAGAATAAACATAGTACCGAGGGTGGGACTGGTTAATAACGTTTATAAATAGTCCATTATTACCTTTCCCCCCAGCGGATTGGATTTTGTATTCCAGTGACTTGAGCACAACCAGACTAACAGCCCTCAGCATCACATGATCGAACTCATCACTGCTCCCGCCACGTAATTGGCCCGTCCCTCCAAAGAAAATGGCCGCGGACTCCACCGGAACACACTGTAACCAATCAGCGTGCACCGCCCGCAACACATCATCAGCCAGCGCAAGAATGTCACTCGTCATGTGATCATCTCCATGCGTTAGGGAGGACGCCTCTCCCAAAGCCATGTCCTCTCCCGCCTTCTGAAGGAGAATCCTCTTTAATAGCAGAAGCACTCGCTTCTTCACAAAGTAGTCGACGTGAGAGTCTACTATCCGCAGTAACGCCGATGCCTGTACGAGGGCGAGCCTTGAGCTCGTGAAACAGACACTGGTGGTGCTTAGTTTGAACCTGGATGCAGTGAGCACTTCCAGTAAGTCTAGGAGGTTACTCAGGGTTGTAGCCCAGTCTGCCGTGTTATTACTGGGGTATGATGCAGAGTCCCCATGGCCCGCTCTCTCTACAGGGACAAGCTGGGAGTAAGCAGAAGTGACAGCTGGGTCGAAAGTGGCAAGAAGTTTCTCCAAAGTCCCTGAGGGGCAAAGAAAGATAATTCCCCACTGTGGCTAAAACCAATGTACATTGAATTTACATGGTAGATGCATAGGTAGGTAGAACACAATTACAATGTAAACACATTCATAGCCACACTGTAGTTACGCCGTTCCAGCTTAGTGGCCTAACTATAATAATAATAATATAATATGCCATTTAGCAGACGCTTTTATCCAAAGCGACTTACAGTCATGTGTGCATACATTTTTACGTATGGGTGGTCTACCATGTAAACACATGGTAAATACATAGGATTTGGCACCAAGTAGAACTTATTTGGAGATAGTGGACAAATAAAACATACATGTTGATACAATTGATGGATGAATTGTGTTTCAATACCAGGTTTATATTCTGATGTTTCTTTTAAAACTGCTTTCAGGACAGTGGTAAGTGACCATGTGCATGCATCCAGTTCGTTGCCAGAGCAAGGGTTCTGGAGCACTTGCAAGCACTTCCATTTCCAAATCTGGTTGACTGTATTCTAGTCAGGAAAAAAGAGAACTGAATGTAAGAATTCACCTGTCAGGATCTGTCCTCAATAAGGAACAATCTACTTAAATAAAGCCTGGTAGGCCTGTGTGTAAATGTGATTTTACAGGTTCAGGTGACAGATTTGGGTCATCTAATGTGAGACTGTCTGATGCACACAGAACTTCTAGAGTTACTTGACTAGTATGCAATATAACTTACTTGACTATGCAATACAATACACTCTTAAATCACAAAAAAAACATGAGGACGATTAGAATACTCACAAAGCAATGCAGCTCAAAAATAACATAGGAGGATACACTCTTTGCAGCTAGATGAGACAGCAACCTGTCCTTGCAGCGGACAAGGTGAACCTGTGGGGTGGGGGAACAAAAATGTTAATACTATAAGCAAACACAAACAAAAGGACAAGGCAATTATATATTCCAATCATATGCAGGAAACCAAACTCACAAGTTTGGACATGAAATCCATATCCTGGAATAATACTGTAGAAACATCTTTGAAGTAAAGGCTGGTTTCTTGAGACAGTTGTTGAGATGTCAGCTTGGTGCTTATTTTCTCCACCAGGGTCAACACAAGACAAGCCAGTTCAGTTCCATTTGGGTTCTGAGAATATTCGGAGAACGTTAGGGGATCTCTGGACTGGTCCTGATGCTGAGAACCACTACTGGCATCTGGAGTCAGTTCACATACACAAGTGAACATGGAGGATGCCAACTCATGGCTACTCATTTTGCTGGGTGATGTTCTCGACAATAAACTTCTGTAAGCATCATTTAGGACATGAAAGTGGTCATTCATTTTGACGTAGCGTTTGGGTTTTCAATGATCACGAGGGTCTTGGCAGTGGTCAACCTGAAAAAAGAAAAATGTGCACCGAGTTTGTCGGATTTTCATTCGATTTCTGCCACGCGAACCATGTTGCGTGCATAATTTTTTTTGCAATGATTGTATTATACATGTTTTCTGTACACTTTTGAATAACACAACACTGAATATTAACATTTAATGCCGACCACGATTAATTTACCTTTTGAAAAAGAAGCATTCTTCGACTTCCGATCATTGTGACCTACCAGCTCGAAAATAAATGTTATATCTGTTCCTGTTTGGTTTGCGTTGCATGCTGTGAGTTGTAGTGCGATTTATAATTTACAGTTAAATCACTTTAAATGTAGTCGCACACCCTAACGTTTCTGGACTGAAAATGATCAATTTAGTATATATATATTGTATTTAAATATACATGGGTCATTTTCTTTAAAAAAATTAATCTCTTGATTTTAAATTCTGGCTGTGTTGTGTACGGACATTGCATCACGTGACTGAACACGGAAGTACAGCGTGCGATAACATTTAGGAGACGATTGGAAAGGAGTTCACTCATTCCATTGTGTCAACAACGAGAATAATTATAGCCATACAAACCGTTGGCCTATTTTGTTTGATATCGATCTAAACATACGACATATTGAAGGTTTGCAGAGGCAACTGGAGGCTTGCAGCAGGATGCTGATTTGACAGCTCAAATTCGTCGCTTCTGGTGCCTGATTGGCTAAAAGAATCCCGTTGAAATTGGGGTCGCATCGGTGGAGGATGGCTAGCAAGCCTGCTAGCTTCGTATTTTAAGTAAGAATCATGCATTCATTTATCAAAGCTAGCTAACACTTATCTTGTGTAGTTGAAGTATGGTTGCCTTCTCGAGTCGTGCACATGTTCACATAGCTATTGAATTGTTACAATTGTTTTAAAACTCTGAAATCCAATGCAGTTCTAGTAGCTTGAAAACTGGGTAACGATTTAGGCTATTTGCTAGCCAGATGCCTAACCAGCAGTAGTTAATCGATTAATTTCTTCCTTAAAGGGGAATTGTTTATATATAGCAATTTATATCAGCACAATGTATCGTAGTATCCTGCCATAGTTTGTGGGCATATAGATATATCAATAAAATAAGTCCTAAAGGAGTGGAACAAGTTGGGGTCGCAGTGTTAGCTAGCTAACGTTAGCTAACTAGCTAACATTCCATTGTTTGAGCGCTTAGTTAGCTAACTATTAGCTGGCCGGTGGCTACTTAGCTCGATAACTTGGTGTGACTTATTTTGACTTCAACTTTGTCTAAAATGCATGGAGTCTAGTCTAGCTTTAAATAACACCGATATAGCTATACCATTGCCCTAATTTGGATGACAAAAGGCACTAGCCGAACTTCCATTCAGGTAGCTATCTAACGGTTAGCCAGTTAGCTAGCTAACCACTAATAGCTAGCTTTTGTTTGAATCGTATTTTAAGTGATTAGCCTACCAGCTTGCTTGTTTTTACATTCAACATTGTTATCTAGTTAGCTAAATAGCTATTATACCGCCATCCCATTTGGATAGAAGCTAGCTGCAGGTATAGCTAACATTACGTTTATGTAAAATGTTTAGCTATTCCCATTTCTCAGTTACTGTCATAATGGTATGACTGTGCAAATGCAGTATGTTTTTTAATGTCTTCTAGTTGATAATATAAACTGATGTATTTTGAATGCTCATGAAATTTTTTGTTTTTTTCAGGGTCAGTGCTAGCCCACAATCCATTTGAGCGGAGTTCATATCTGTCTGTTCTACTGTTGCGCAAGAGAGACACATGAAAATTGGCTTAACTACATAATCAAGCTTGACAAAAGGTGAAAATCTCCTGCTGCTCAGTATGAAATACCATGTCGTCCATAAAGTATACAAGGGTTCTGCACACCTAGAAGTGGTGCTGCAGTGGTCACCAACCCTGGTTCCTGCCAAGCATGAAATAGCCTACCTGTTTCAACTGATCACCGGAGCTGGTGACCACTGTGCAATAGAGCAGTGGGGACCCCCAGTTGTCTTACAGATTTCCTCTATTCCACCCTAGCACCCCTCAAGCCCTTGGTTAGTTGAATCAGATGTGCTAGTACTAGAATGTGCAACGGCTGTTGGTCCCAGAGGAACAGATGGATTTAGAAAACCTACTCATGCATAGTCGGCTTATTTATACCAATAACAAAAATGTATCCATCACGATGTACTGTTATCAAAACGTAGGCCTAGCTATTTTTCACTAATAACCAAAATGAAGTGATGCAGCTTACGCGTTTACTGTCTCGACTCTCCAGACAAAGGACTAGGTGTGGATGACCCCTCCCCTTACGAGATGTAACAGGATGCTGAACCATCACTGTAGAAGGAACCCCGAGCTTCAAGAGGAGCTGCAGATACAGGCAAAGACACTTAATACCAAGACTGTCTACTCCACCGTTAGCATTTCCCACTGGTAAACGACTGCTTATGCTAGAGATGAATGCTAATGCTCTTGGTGTGTACTGTCTTTGCTCCAGGCTGCAGTGGCAGCGGGGGATGTGTACACCGTCAGGAAGATGCTGGAGCAAGGCTACTCTCCCAAGATCCGTGATGCCAACGGGTGGACCCTGCTCCACTTCTCCGCTGCCAAGGGGAAGGAGAGATGTGTCCGGGTCTTCCTGGAACACGGAGGTGAATTCAAGGGCCTGGTGTTAGGGGGGAAAGGGGGTCTATTCAGTCTGTATCTGTTGTCCACAGGAGGTTGGGCGCACCTTCATTGGGGAGGACGGGCTCCTGGTAATGGGTGGAGCTGAATCAGTGGAATGGCATCAAACACATGGTTTCCATGGTTTTCATATGTTTGATACCATTCCGTTTGCTCCGTTCCAGCCATTTTTATTATGACGGCCAAGTGTTAGTAGAGATACAGTGAGGGGAAAAAAGTATTTGATCCCCTGCTGATTTTGTATGTTTGCCCACTGACAAAGACATGATCAGTCTATAATTTTAATGGTAGGTTTATTTGAACAGTGAGAGACAGAATAACAACAAAATAATCCAGAAAAACGCATGTCAAAAATGTTATAAATTGATTTGCATTTTAATGAGGGAAATAAGTATTTGACCCCTCTGCAAAACATGACTTAGTACTTGTTGGCAATCACAGAGGTCAGACGTTTCTTGTAGTTGGCCACCAGGTTTGCACACATCTCAGGAGGGATTTTGTCCCACTCCTCTTTGCAGATCTTCTCCAAGTCATCAAGGTTTCGAGCCTGACGTTTGGCAACTCGAACCTTCAGCTCCCTCCACATATTTTCTATGGGATTAAGGTCTGGAGACTGGCTAGGCCACTCCAGGACCTTCATGTGCTTCTTCTTGAGCCACTCCTTTGTTGCCTTGGCTGTGTGTTTTGGGTCATTGTCATGCTGGAATACCCATCCACGACCCATTTTCAATGCCCTGGCTGAGGGAAGGAGGTTCTCACCCAAGATTTGACGGTACATGGCGCCGTCCGTCGTCCCTTTGATGTGGTGAAGTTGTCCTGTCCCCTTAGCAGAAAAACACCCCCAAAGCGTAATGTTTCCACCTCCATGTTTGACGGTGGGGATGGTGTTCTTGGGGTCATAGGCAGCATTCCTCCTCCTCCAAACATGGCGAGTTGAGTTGATGCCAAAGAGCTCGATTTTGGTCTCATCTGACCACAACACTTTCACCCAGTTCTCCTCTGAATCATTCAGATGTTCATTGGCAAACTTCAGACGGGCCTGTATATGTGCTTTCTTGAGCAGGGGGACCTTGCGGGTGCTGCAGGATTTCAGTTCCTTCACGGCGTAGTGTGTTACCAATTGTTTTCTTGGTGACTATGGTCCCAGCTGCCTTGGGATCATTGACAAGATCCTCCTGTGTAGTTCTGGGCTGATTCCTCACCATTCTCATGGTCATTTCAACTCCACGAGGTGAGATCTTGCATGGAGCCCCAGGCCGAAGGAGATTGACAGGTCTTTTTTGTTTCTTCCATTTGCAAATAATCGCACCAACTGTTGTCACCTTCTCACCATGCTGCTTGGCGATGGTCTTGTAGCCCATTCCAGCCTTGTGTAGGTCTACAATCTTGTCCCTGACATCCTTGGAGAGCTCTTTAGTATTGGCCATGGTGGAGAGTTTGGAATCTGATTGATTGATTGTTTCTGTGGACAGGTGTATTTTATACAGGTAACAAACTGAGATCAGGAGCACTCCCTTTAAGAGTGTGCTCCTAATCTCAGCTTGTTACCTGTATAAAAGACACCTGGGAGCCAGAAATCTTTCTGATTGAGAGGGGGTCAAATACTTATTTCCCTCATTAAAATGCAAATCAATTTATAACATTTTTGACATGCGTTTTTCTGGATTTTGTTGTTGTTATTCTGTCTCACTGTTCAAATAAACCTACCATTAAAATTATAGACTGATCATTTCTTTGTCAGTGGGCAAACGTACAAAATCAGCAGGGGATCAAATACTTTTTTCCCTCACTGAAGGTGCTAGGGAAACACCATGTCTGAACAGATTCATGAAGAAACACTGGCTCATTCTCTATTAATATCTCCTTGTTTGATTCGATGGTGTTCCAGGCTTCTATGCACATTTAGCCTGGTGACAAGGTCTGTGAAAGGTCCCCTGTCAGAATCCATGTTCACAAAGAAAAGGAGACTAGCGGAGGAAATGGTTGTGACACAGCAAGGGTCTGCCATATGATACTATCTACATGCATCCATTCAGGGGTTTATATCACTAATCTACTCACATATTTGTTTAGAATGATAATCCTTTCACATGTGCTGTTTGTTTGAGATATATTTCATGTTGGTGCACCATGACAGTGCAACCTGAATCAAACTCCCCCCCCTTGAATTGTTGGCCTATAGATGGCAATATATCACCAGTCTGGGAATGGCAGCAGTCTGTCTTCTCCACAGCTTCACTCCCAGGTCATTCTAACATGGCTATAGGCTGTAGGATGAAGTTGCCCCTAGACGCTGTTCTTGGGTCAGTTTGGCATTTTCCCCACTAATGGTTAAGGTTAGGATTGGGGGAGGGGAAGCTGATCCTAGATCTGTACCTAGGGGAAACTTTACCCTAAAGCAGTGTGACAGTATGCTTCTGAGCAGAGTGAAAATAATGTTCATTTAATGAGACTATGATGGAATAGTGTTGCAATTCATTAATTGTTTTAATATTTTGCTATTAAAATGTGTACAGATTTGGATTCCAAATGATGTAGTTGCAGTGATGCGTTAAGTCCAGAGGGCGCTGTAGACCAAGTCTCTCAAACTGTTTTTCTTTGAAGAGCTCATTAAACAAGTTGGGGGTTTATTTTGTATTATGCGCTGAAAAATCGAGACCGTTGAAATGTATGCATAACCAACAGTGAGAGTATGTTGTTACCCTTGACTTAATTGTCTAAAATAATTTAACGATACTGTGAAAATAATATTTTTGCTGGTCAGTCATATAGCCTACCTAATGGATGCATGTTGGATAAGAGGGGAGCCAGCCATTTTTAACAAGGCTGTTGAATGGAAAATTCCCCTCTGGATTTAGCCTAGGCCCTAGCAGACAGTGAGGCGGTCATTACCAGCACTCTCGGCATTGGCTAATTGAAATAGCAGGACTTTAACCCCTGACCCCGCTTTCACACTTTAATGTCTCACTGATGCTAATTGTTCTAATGCACCAGCATCTGCCGGCCCACTCTTTCCTTTCACACCACAGCAGGCTTTAAAGTGGCAATTGGCAGTTGAAATAATAACACAGTGGTTCCCTGCCCCTGTTTTGGTAAAAAGCTGTGTGATGGGGCTGGAGAACTGTAACGACCTTCAAATTCATAGACAGAGCTATGGATGCAAGGACTGACCATCCATGATATTAAAATTATGGTTTAAACCATGTTTTGAGGCTATGTAGTGTTTGTTTACATTCACATTGTTTACAAACGTTGGAGTAAAACAAGGTTATATTTTGGGTTCTGATGGGGTAGGACAGTTGAACTAAGCTCATGGGGCATTTATACGTTTTTATATTCTACAGAAATCAATGGATACATATTTTATAAAATCAGAAATGGATGTAGTAACTGCAGATCGCCCCATTAATCTGCATTATGCTGCTGTCACGCAATCATCCATCCCTCTGTTTTTCTGTCTCTCTCACTTGCTCTTTCTTTGGATCTCTCTCGCTCTCTCAGCCTGTCTCTCTCTGAGTCTGTTTGATTGTTATTTGTTAGTGTCTTAACTAAATTGGTATTTTTCTGTTATAATAAAGAGCCTGTAAAGACTGTCCCCTGTCTATCTCCCCAGCTGACCCCACGGTAAAGGACTTCATTGGCGGCTTCACGGCGCTCCACTATGCCGCTATGCACGGCCGTGCGCGCATCGCCCGCCTCATGCTGGAGTCGGAATTCCGCAGCGACATCATCAATGCCAAGAGCAACGACGGCTGGACGCCGCTGCACGTGGCCGCCCACTACGGCCGCGACTCTTTCGTGCGGCTCCTCCTCGAGTTCCGCGCCGAGGTGGATCCCCTCAGTGACAAGGGCACCACGCCCCTCCAACTCGCCATCATCCGTGAGCGCTCGAGCTGCGTGCGGATCCTGCTAGACCACAGCGCCAACATCGACATTCAAAATGGCTTCCTGCTGCGCTACGCCGTCATCAAGGGGAATCATTCCTACTGTCGGATGTTCCTGCAGCGGGGTGCGGACACTAACCTGGGTCGCCTCGAGGACGGGCAGACCCCATTGCACCTGTCGGCGCTAAGAGACGACGTGCTGTGCGCCCAGATGCTCTACACGTACGGCGCCGACACCAACACGAGGAACTACGAGGGCCAGACTCCCGTGGCGGTGTCGGCGAGCATGTCGGGCATCAGCCGGCCCTGCCTGGACTTCCTACAGGAGGTCACCAGTAAGTCTGGGGCTACTGGGCTGTTAGTAGTACTAGGACCGTACCACTAGTGGATATAGACACTGCTTTTAATATCATCTCATGGCTTGACTGGGACTCAGCGTTTCCCCTAGATTGCTTTATCAGACAGGCAGAACGATGAGGCCCTAAAATTAACATCCAAAGTTGAGTTAAATATAATTGCCAATGTATCAATAACACTTAACATATTAGTTGTTGGTTGTCAAAAACATTTCTGCACATCAGACCAGTAAAGTATATGAGGACTTTCTATGAACCTGAAAAGAAACCTGGAGTCAAACAGGACGGGGCGATGGAAACGTTTCAATCCGCTACAAAAAGTGTTGGAGGGAAATTGTAAGTTGAGAGGAGAAAAATAACCTACAGAGACAGGGAGCGTTGCCATGGCTTTATAATGACCAGTGTTCTGTTGGGGGGGGGGGAGGGAGTGGCACGATGTTACCTGAAGCAGTAATGATTTTAGAGAGGCACAATGCCCTGCTGCATTCCTCTGTGTTTCTCACTGAACTTTGATATGGAGATATCAAAGAGCTCTCGGGTGCGTCCCAAATGGCACCCTATTCCCTATACTGTATATTCCCCATATGGTGCTGGTCAAAAGTAGTGCACTATGTAGCGAATAGGGTGGCCATTTGGGACGAAGACCTGCTCTGCTGTTTCAGACTGACAGCCATGTGAAGTCGGACCCCTCTATTCATTCAGACCGTAGCAAACGATCAGCCAGATCACATATCCCCCCTTATTGATTACACTGACTACCTCAGTGGATTAACTCATCTGCTGCAGCTAGGAGGGCCTTGTTGAAGGGAGGATGAATGGCACCCAGCTCTTATGAAGCTCATTGTATATTATGCCATAGATGTATCAGTGTTTCCCTTAGGTTGTTTCTCAGGTGGGTTGGGTGCGGAGCAGAGCGTCGGTCCCCCTAGCTACATCCAGGGCTGCCGCTGCCAACACTGAAATCTCAACTAGATAAATGTAGAGAGATTAAATGGTAACGAGAATGTATGTTAAAAGTTGAAATACAACCTAACGTGATTTCACACTTACCTTGGCTGAAGTTGGTTCACCAACACAGATATTTCACCTGTAGTCTATAAATGATTGTCTGCAAGCCTTTGGTTTTTATTTTGTCTTTTTTAAAGGAGAACTGTGACTCATCTTCTGAATGATTTCTCTTTATTTAGACAGAATGTGGATGAAGGGGTAGCCTATAGTTGAAGAGGGGAGAAAGTGTGATGGTGTCTGGTCTCGGTAGACTGCAGCACTACCACCTGTCTGCGATTTTTTAACCAAACCTTTAGTTCAGTTTCAGCTGGAGCAAGGAAAGGACAGCTTAGTTCTGGTGACTAGAGACAGAGAGGACAGTATGGTTGTGGTGACTAGGGTGAGTGGGAGGAGGACAGTATGGTTGTGGTGACAGACGGGGAGAGAGGAGGACAGCATGGTTGTGGTGACAGACTGGGAGAGAGGAGGACAGCATGGTTGTGGTGACAGACGGGGAGAGAGGAGGACAGCATGGTTGTGGTGACAGACGGGGAGAGAGGAGGACAGTATGGTTGTGGTGACAGTAGACGGGGAGAGAGGAGGACAGCGTGGTTGTGGTGACAGACGGAGAGAGGAGGACAGCATGTTTGTGGTGAGAGAGAGAGGAGGACAGCATGGTTGTGGTGACAGTAGACAGGGAGAGAGGAGGACAGCGTGGTTGTGGTGACAGTAGACAGGGAGAGAGGAGGACAGCATGGTTGTGGTGACAGTAGACAGGGAGAGAGGAGGACAGCATGGTTGTGGTGACAGTAGACAGGGAGAGAGGAGGACAGCATGGTGGTGGTGACAGTAGACAGGGAGAGAGGAGGACAGCATGGTTGTGGTGACAGTAGACAGGGAGAGAGGAGGACAGCATGGTTGTGGTGACAGTAGACAGGGAGAGAGGAGGACAGCATGGTTGTGGTGACAGTAGACAGGGAGAGAGGAGGACAGATGGTTGTGGTGACAGTAGACAGGGAGAGAGAGGACAGATGGTTGTGGTGACAGTAGACAGGGAGAGAGGAGGACAGCATGGTTGTGGTGAGTAGACAGGAGAGAGGAGGACAGCATGGTTGTGGTGGTAGACAGAGAGAGGAGGACAGCATGGTTGTGGTGACAGTAGACGGGAGAGAGGAGGACAGCATGGTTGTGGTGACAGTAGACAGGGAGAGAGGAGGACAGCATGGTTGTGGTGACAGTAGACAGGGAGAGAGGAGGACAGCATGGTTGTGGTGACAGTAGACAGGGAGAGAGGAGGACAGCATGGTTGTGGTGACAGTAGACAGGGAGAGAGGAGGACAGCATGGTTGTGGTGGACAGTAGACAGGGAGAGAGGAGGACAGCATGGTTGTGGTGACAGTAGACAAGACAGGGAGAGAGGAGGACAGCATGGTTGTGGTGACAGTAGACAGGGAGAGAGGAGGACAGCATGGTTGTGGTGACAGTAGACAGGGAGAGAGGAGGACAGCATGGTTGTGGTGACAATAGACAGGGAGAGAGGAGGACAGCATGGTTGTGGTGACAGTAGACAGGGAGAGAGGAGGACAGCATGGTTGTGGTGACAGTAGACGGGGAGAGAGGAGGACAGTATGGTTGTGGTGACAGTAGACAGGGAGAGAGGAGGACAGCATGGTTGTGGTGACAGTAGACAGGGAGAGAGGAGGACAGCATGGTTGTGGTGAGAGAGAGAGGAGGACAGCATGGTTGTGGTGACAGTAGACAGGGAGAGAGGAGGACAGCATGGTTGTGGTGACAGTAGACAGGGAGAGAGGAGGACAGCATGGTTGTGGTGACAGTAGACCGGGAGAGAGGAGGACAGCATGGTTGTGGTGACAGTAGACAGGGAGAGAGGAGGACAGCATGGTTGTGGTGACAGTAGACAGGGAGAGAGGAGGACAGCATGGTTGTGGTGACAGTAGACAGGGAGAGAGGAGGACAGCATGGTTGTGGTGACAGTAGACAGGGAGAGAGGAGGACAGTATGGTTGTGGTGACAGTAGACAGGGAGAGAGGACGACAGCATGGTTGTGGTGACAGTAGACAGGGAGAGAGGAGGACAGCATGGTTGTGGTGACAGACGGAGAGAGGAGGACAGCATGGTTGTGGTGACAGTAGACAGGGAGAGAGGAGGACAGCATGGTTGTGGTGACAGTAGACCGGGAGAGAGGAGGACAGCATGGTTGTGGTGACAGTAGACAGGGAGAGAGGAGGACAGCATGGTTGTGGTGACAGTAGACAGGGAGAGAGGAGGACAGCATGGTTGTGGTGACAGTAGACAGGGAGAGAGGAGGACAGCATGGTTGTGGTGACAGTAGACAGGGAGAGAGGAGGACAGCATGGTTGTGGTGAGAGAGAGAGAGAGGAGGACAGCATGGTTGTGGTGAGAGAGAGAGGAGGACAGCATGGTTGTGGTGAGAGAGAGAGGAGGACAGCTGGTTTGTGGTTGACAGTAGACAGGGAGAGAGGAGGACAGCATGGTTGTGGTGAGAGAGAGAGGAGGACAGCATGGTTGTGGTGAGAGAGAGAGGAGGACAGCATGGTTGTGGTGACAGTAGACAGGGAGAGAGGAGGACAGCATGGTTGTGGTCCAGCCCTGCCCTGTGTATGTGTGAGAGAGACTCCTAAACATTTTAAAACTGGCAATAAGAGGGTGTTTGGCCTTGAGAGCTGCCTGATAATTTGGGAAATGTTTTTGAAAGGCTCATTGTTGTCCTATTTGAAGTGTGGAATAATCTAAAGTCACAGTGAAAGTGAGCTTACTCACCAGCTGCTTGTTTCAGTTTGATTCAGAGTCGAACGTCATGAATCAAAGTGAAACAAGCAAATTGACAACACTAGACATGCTTGTCTGATTCACCCTGACTCACCTGTAACAGCGTGACTCCCAGTCTTCTGTTCATCCTCAGACTTTTCTGCAAGATTAGTTATCAAAACATTAGAACGCTGAACTTCAACCTTTTATTTCATACACACGATTGTAGAATGACCAATGCTTACTGTCCTTTTGTGCAAAAATGACGATCCACTTTGATATTTTTAACAGATGTTTTTGTTTCTTTTCAGGACAACCCAGGACTTTGCAGGACATGTGTCGGATAAACATCCGGCATCGCATAGGCCTCCAGAGCTTGACGTTTCTGGAGGACCTGCCCATTGCCAAGGTCATGAAAGACTACCTAAAACACAAGTTTGACAATGTGTGATGACAATAGTTTTTTTATATACCCCCCGAACCAGGCAGACGGACAACATCGTTCTCTCCTTTCATCAAAGACTATGCAAGCATTGTGCTACCTTCCGTTGTCTGACGCCTGGATGATGTGGCGGACCAGGTTTTTGTACAACCTCCAGAGGTCACTTTGTAACCTCAGTTAAACACGCGGTTGGATGGCAGAGACAGAGTATATTTCTCTCTCAACCGTGTTTCCACCGCGTTAGCAGCATTACACCTTTTGGATCAACAACTGAATTGGATGGACGGGGACAGGTGGCAATGTTTCAAGTAGGGCTTTCTTTCAATCATGATGAATGGTTGATGAAGTGGTGCGGTCCTAATACGTGTTGTGGAATAAAGCTTGTTTTGATAGAAATTATGTTACCCATAATGCATGTCCCGTGTCAGACTTCAGTCCACATTATGCCAATTATTTTTTGGGGATATTAAGTGTTCCTGTTTCCGTAGACGCCAATATTTTTTTGCTGTGGTAAATCTGGGGAAGATGAGAGAGCGAGAAAGGATTGTCAGACACATTATGTTTTCATTATTAAGAAGTTTAGAACTTCGTGGCCACAAATGGTGCAGAATGGGTCAATCTTGTGATACATTTCAAATAATCAAGTTATCAAAACCCCTTAATTATACAAATATTACAAAAGCTCAGTGTTGAGTTACAGTGGGGAAGAAAAGGTATTTAGTCAGCCACCAATTGTGCAAGTTCTCCCACTTAAAAAGATGAGAGGCCTGTAATTTATCATAGGTACACGTCAACTATGACAGACAAAATGAGGAAAAATAATCCAGAAAATCACATTGTAGGATTTTTTTATGAATTTATTTGCAAATTATGGTGGAAAATAAGTATTTGGTCAATAACAAAAGTTTCTCAATACTTTGTTATATACCCTTTGTTGGCAATGACACAGGTCAAACGTTTTCTGTAAGTCTTCACAAGGTTTTCACACACTGTTGCTGGTATTTTGGCCCATTCCTCCATGCAGATCTCCTCTAGAGCAGTGATGTTTTGGGGCTGTCGCTGGGCAACACGGACTTTCAACTCCCTCCAAAGATTTTCTATGGGGTTGAGATCTGGAGACTGGCTAGGCCACTCCAGGACCTTGAAATGCTTCTTACGAAGCCACTCCTTCATTGCCCGGGCGGTGTGTTTGGGATCATTGTCATGCTGAAAGACCCAGCCACGTTTCATCTTCAATGCCCTTGCTGATGGAAGGAGGTTTTCACTCAAAATCTCACGATACATGGCCCCATTCATTCTTTCCTTTACACGGATCAGTCGTCCTGGTCCCTTTGCAGAAAAACAGCCCCAAAGCATGATGTTTCCACCCCCATGCTTCACAGTAGGTATGGTGTTCTTTGGATGCAACTCAGCATTCTTTGTCCTCCAAACACGACGAGTTGAGTTTTTACCAAAAAGTTATATTTTGGTTTCATCTGACCATATGACATTCTCCCAATCCTCTTCTGTATCATCCATATGCACTCTAGCAAACTTCAGACGGGCCTGGACATGTACTGGCTTAAGCAGGGGGACACGTCTGGCACTGCAGGATTTGAGTCCCTGGCGGCGTAGTGTGTTACTGATGGTAGGCTTTGTTACTTTGGTCCCAGCTCTCTGGAGGTCATTCACTAGGTCCCCCCGTGTGGTTCTGGGATTTTTGCTCACCGTTCTTGTGATCATTTTGACCCCACGGGGTGAGATCTTGCGTGGAGCCCCAGATCGAGGGAGATTATCAGTGGTCTTGTATGTCTTCCATTTCCTAATAATTGCTCCCACAGTTGATTTCTTCAAACCAAGCTGCTTACCTATTGCAGATTCAGTCTTCCCAGCCTGGTGCAGGTCTACAATTTTGTTTCTGGTGTCCTTTGACAGCTCTTTGGTCTTGGCCATAGTGGAGTTTGGAGTGTGACTGTTTGAGTTTGTGGACAGGTGTCTTTTATACTGATAACAAGTTCAAACAGGTGCCATTAATACAGGTAACGAGTGGAGGACAGAGGAGCCTCTTAAAGAAGAAGTTACAGGTCTGTGAGAGTCAGAAATCTTGCTTGTTTGTAGGTGACCAAATACTTATTTTCCACCATAATTTGCAAATAAATTCATTAAAAATCCTACAATGTGATTTTCTGGAGAAAAAAATTCTCAATTTGTCTGTCATAGTTGACGTGTACCTATGATGAAAATTACAGGCCTCTCATCTTTTTAAGTGGGAGAACTTGCACAATTGGTGGCTGACTAAATACTTTTTCCCCCACTGTACCTCAAGCTTGAGTTGGCTAAAGTAGACCAGTTTGAATTGATTGATTTTTAAAGGATTTACAAGTGAGTGATACCGAGGAAGGTTTTCAGTTGAGGAAAGGCCTGAGTTTTCCACATTTACAATAGGTGTTCACAAGATGAGTCATCCAGCATAGCTCAGTGAAGTCTGTCTGCATTGGTTACCATGTACAGATATGCACATAATCATAAAAACAACTAATGTAAATAATTATATGTACAGCAGATATTTTTCTATAATTATTTAAGCAATGATCACCTGTATTCTTAATGTATTTGGAATTTGTTGGACGGTATTGTGTGCTGTTGATGTGACCCATGTATTTTTTTTCTATGTGTATGCGTGTCTTTTAAGAGTTTTTTTTTTAAAGACACGCACGTGTATTTTAACTAAATATTTAGTTAAAATACATTCTGATTAATTATTTTATTTTGTGGGAGACGGAAAAGGTGTTGGGTTAAGAATAAAATAAGTGAATTTGTGTTTAAATGTCAATGCCCCTGTGTTTTAAATCATATTTGTTCACATTTGTGTGAATTTAAGGTAAATCCAGATTATTTTTTTATTTGACACATTGTCACTGATACTAATGAATGGTGTTTACATAGATTTTTGCATGATTTCAATGACTGTATTATTTGCGTAGTTTTTGCCTCAACATTTCAAACTGCTATGATGTCTGCGTTTTGTAAGTCTGAACAGACAAAGAGATGGTAGATGTCTTCCTCTCACTGATGCAATGTTTTGTTTAATTTGCATCTGCCCTGTGGTCAAATGGCAGTACTCTGCTCTCTACCTTAGATTTTATTTAGATTTTAATATAAGCGCTGACTTTTCTAATTTGCTTTGAATACTTTTAGACGGCACATTATTCAATTGCAGATACTTTAAAACGGGGTCCAGCAACAGGCAGCATCAGGATTTTAGTTTTTGCTCAAAGACAAATCACTAGGAATGAAGCTAAAAACTAATTTCATTTAGGAAATCTGTTCAAATATTCCCCCAAATAAATAATGATTGTGTCTCAATGTAATCAAGTTATGAAATTGTTATTTTCAAGTACGATGTCTTTTTGGGATTAGTTGTGGTCAATTTACAGTGTACAAAATATTATAGTTATGTTCTGGCCCTGCGACCATCCGCTCCGATAAAAATCAGCCCGTGGCTTAATTGAGTTACCTACCCCTACCTTAAAACCAAATGTTTGACATTTTGAAATGCAGGTTGATCGTCCATTCTTAGTTAATGAAAGGAGTTATTTGAATAGGAGTTATTTGAATAACACCGCTTACCATTGATCTGCATCATAGATATGGACAGGTGTTTTTCTGACCCTCTGCCTGACAAGGAAAAACCATGGGCTAGGGTTTATTAATTATGCCGATTCTGTTGTGAAATGCGGAGGGAACAAGCTGAATTTGTCCAATAGAAACTCTGGTTTTATCTGTTTGGACTAATGATTACACCCCTGGTGTTGTAGCCAATAACTAGGGCCCCAAGTTTTTCCTGGCCAGGTCATGTAGTCAGGAAAATCTCTTGGCCCAAATCACAGAATATAAGCCGACAAGAGTTTGTTTTTAGTTCTGTCACTAGTTCATCCCACAACCACACTCCAGTTGCATTTCCTGTGGTTTAATGTCCTCTGTCTGATTTAGGAGACAATACCATTTTGTATGACGGACTGTTTATATATAGTGAGCAGCGAGTTATGTGATTCACAGCGTATCCTGGGTCTTGTTCATTAGGGCATGCAATGGAAAGCTTTTGAAAATTATTTCTGACAGAAACCAAAAATGTGCGTTTCTTATTGGACAAGTCCAAGTAGTCCCTCCTCGTTTGAGTTCATTTTCTTCAGTTTGGTGCGTAATGAACACCACCCTGCATTGTGTGCCTCCACAAGCCTCAGGAGGGTTTTCAATAGACTGGGTCTTTACAGTCAGGGAACAGTTCATACATGTGTTGGTTGGGAGTAGGGTGTAGTTGTCACTGATCTTGGGTCAGTTTTACATCTCCCCCACTAATGGTTAAGGTTAGGATTGGAGGAGGGGAAGCTGATCCTAGATCTGTACTTAGGGGAAACATCACCCCAGAGCAATATGTTGCAGGGCTAGGAGTTTTACCTGGACAATGGGATCTGACAGGAAGATACCCAAGGCCCCTGAGTTCTTCCCAGCCAGGTTACATGGTCTATGGCCCTCAAACTCAACTCTGGACCTTGAAGCCAGTTCCACTGCTTTTTATCCATTGTTCCCCTCTAATCAGGGACTGATTTAGACCTGGGACACCAGGTGGGTGCAATTAATTATCAGGTAGAACAGAAAACCAGCAGGCTCCAGACCTCGTAGGGTCAGAGTTGAATACCCAGGTCTATGGAACCTGACCAGGAAGATACCTAATGCCCCGAGTTCTTCCCAGTCAGGATAAACTACTGGTCCCGCTTATGTAGCTCTCTAATGGATATGTCTTCCACAACATCAACTACTGAATGTACATAATATGCAGATTTATAAATGTAAAAATGTGAATAAACAAACGTCATAATATTATCCTTGTTGCGTTGTGTCCGAAATGGGAGTGAGACCGCTGATAGTAAATTAATTGATAGACTGGTTTTGTAATTGGGAAATATCACTGATGATATTGTTTTTTATCTTTGGGCTCTGTGAAAAAGGAACACATTTTATAGATGCCAGAAATGCACAGTAAGTCTAGTTGAAATCCCATGCCTTGACTTTCTGTATCTTGGAGTTTTTTTTTGTTGGTGTGCATTTGTATATAGAATATTTTGTAATTTTGACTACAGAATAGGCTTATACAGTGCAGCTTGTCAAACTATTATTAACATGAAACATCAATGGAGAACGTCATTGCTGCCTGGCACTCAATAGTTTGAATGGCAGAAGTGGAAATGTGTTTGTTGTACTATCATGACCATCATCTCTTCCTGACTGTTTCCAGGCTGTAAGAGGAAAACATTCTGTCCTGTCATGACTAAGCCTGCTTCAGGTGAGGCTTCCCTACTGCTCAAACACTGCAAGTTCTTCAGTTTCAGATTGAGCTGTGTATGTTCTAGTGTGTGTGTGTGTGTGTGTGGGGGGGTGACCTAATACCATCCGTGATATATTTATGTCTAACTTTACCAAACATGGGGTGCTATCGTTGATCAGATCACAGGTAGCGTTACAGAATAACACAATGCCATCCCTCTTTAGCCAAGCAAGCCCACAGACAACAAGAACAATGCTGCCTTTGTAAGGAAGCCTATACGGTCTGCATGAAAACCTAGTGTCCTTGTCATGTCTACAAATACTAATCCCTCTTTCCTCTTTCCTTCCTCTCCTCTCTCTTCCCTCTCTCTCTCCCTCCTCACATATTTCCTCCTCTCAGGTACGGTAACTCAGACCGTTCCTTCCGCT